ACATACTTCTGATGTTGAAAAATTATCTAGAGCCCTGTAGATGTGAATGGTTTTGATATAGGATATCAATATTACTAAGTGCCTGGGATTCTTCTTACAGCAAATACAGAAAACACAACTGTATTACGAGGATGAATCAATGTTATGATTAATGTCATCTTACATCTGATTAATTTATGGCTATGATTTGTTCTTTATCATCACATGTGCGACACCTCCCCAAATGTTTCAATAGTCAACAAAATACAATATAAAAGCACTATAACTATAAAACATGTTCAACAATGTATACATTAATAAACCATTCTGAAATATGTTGAGTATTGGCACAAACTGTCAACTTTACGTCTTTCTTCTGATTGGCTGGTCACAACCAAGCCGCCATCTCATTGGCTGGTCACAACTACAGCATGACACCTGATTGGATGATCACAAAGGAGACTAATTGCAAAGATTACAACTTTACAAATAACAACTTTTTGTTTATTGCATAGAGCGACAGTTGCACTAAAAAAATGTATGCAATAAACAGGAAGTTGTTGTCCATAAAGTTGTAACCATGGTTACTGACTTTCCAACTAATAGAATGTCGATCAAACAGTTAGCGAGACTGATTGACCAATCACAATTTAGGTTTGCTCTTGTCCACGGTTTTCGTCTTCTTAAGTCCGCCCTTGCTGAAGCCGGAGATGGAACTAAGTAGAGCACCACGCCCTCCTGATGCCGCTGGGGGTGGGGCACTGGAAGGGGGTGGAGGAGCAGGTGCTGGTGGGGAGGTGGGGAGGGGCACCAGAAGATGGTGGGGAGGAGGAGGTGGAGGAGGAGGTGCTGAAAAGAGAAAAAGAAATAAATTAGTAAGCACCTGTAAAAATAGTCTTTTTTCAACAGTAAATATTTCATATAAGCATCAATGGTCCACATCCATATGGGAGAGAGTGAGTTTGATTTTACACTGCTTTTAGCAATATTCCAGCAATATCATGGCGGGTGGACACCAGAAATGGGCTTCACACATTGTACCCATGCGGGAATCGAACCCGGGTCTTCAGTGTGACGAGTGGCCACTTTAACCATTAGGCTACCCACTGCCCCATATGCATATGTAATAGTAATATCGATACTTTTCAAATCATATCGGTCAATACACCAACATTGTAGGATCATCCCATAGGATTTCCAGAAAGAACTGGTTCCCAGCAGTTAAACATAAGAGTAAAACTGATCGTTTGATACGTCAAATATCTAAAACTACATAAGGTCAATATCAATGATGGACCTAACATACACCATGCACATACACCACCCAAACGACTGACTGACTGAGTTGAGTTTTACGCCGCTTTTAGCAATATTCCAGCAATATCACAGCGGGGGACACCAGAAATGGGCTTCACATATTGTACCCATGTGGGGATTCGAACTAGGGTCTTCGGCATGACGAGCCAACGCTTTAACCACTAGACTACCCCACCGCCCCCCACCCAAAAAAGCCCAGCCTAGCACTATCAATATTATTCATATGGAATATGTTCACATTTCAAATAGAGATCACAAAGACACAATCCCTGTCTGCACTGAAATGAGAAGAACCTGCCACATATTCAGAGAATGAAACACCTTCAATCGTGCAGAATGTAAGCATTTTTGCAGCTTTGAGACTGACTGGAATCAGTGAGTTGAGTTTTATGCCGCTTTTAGCAATATTCCAGCAATATCACAGCGGGGGACACCAGAAATGGGCTTCACATATTGTACCCATGTGGAGAATTGAACCAGGGTCTTCGGCCTGATGAGCGAACACTTTAACCACTAGGCTACCCCACTGCCCCTGAGGCTGACTGGAAGTGATGAACATATCAACTAACTGTAATGTTGTTGCAGCTTCGAGACTGCCATAATACTGACTGAGTTTGGTTTTACGCCGCTTTTACCAATATTCCAGCAACATCATGGCGGGGGACACCAGAAATGGGCTTCACACATTGTACCCATGTGGGGAATCGAACCCGGGTCTTCGGCGTGACGAGCCAACGCTTTAAGAATTAGGCTACTCCACCCCCCCACGGCCATAATAACATGAAATAACCACGTTGCTGTATATGTGGAAGAATAAGTCCAAAAACAGCATAAAGATATGTTTACCATCATCCCCAAACATTATCTAGTAAACAAAGGATGAATAAATGAAAAATATAGAAACAGTCTCATCATCAAGACAATTAGCAGATAAACTGTTTCTGTTTTAAATGTTGAGGTGTCAAATGTTGATGAAACATTGCTGTATCTAGTTGTGTTCAATCAAAGGTTTTTATTATGTATCTTATTCTCTTATGACAAATATGTTTTAAAAACTAGAACCAAGCCCTTTGTAGTGATCAGCTTAATGACCAGAGGACCATCCAGATAGTTTTTAGACTATAAAGTATGTGTATTTGCATGTATCTGAATATGGAAACAATTGAGTGTTACTATATCCTGGCTGCAATAAGGATCATTTACATAATGTAGGAACCTTGAGATGCATTGTTAATACAGGGTTGCATAAATACCCACATAATCAATGTTATGCGGCATATTACTGTTCTATGAAGCAGTGTTAAATGATTTAATTATCAATACATAACTACTTAAAATAGTTTAGTTGTATTTCCTTGATATCAACAGGTATTTTGACAGTCACGCAGATATGATGATTAGTTGTTAGTAAAGTTTTGTGACCTTTTGTAAGTCTAGTTGATGAGAAGACTGTATTAGACTGAAGAAAGTGAGAATCTGTACATACACACTGTGAGGCTTGAATCTCTGGGCCTAGATTTTCTAAATGATTTTTTACATCAAGAATGATGAAGGATTTTAAAAAATATCAATTATAAATACAGTCAAATTCCGATGAGTCGAATGCCGGTGTCTCGAATATTATGTATAACACGAAGTACCTGTCGGTCCTGACCATTCCCTGCTATTGTTGTCATCATTTGATTTCCGGTTACACGAATTCGTCTCATAAATACACACGATGACTCGAAATGGAAATTTGGTCCCGTGAGATTCAAACAATAGTAATCTTGTATACATAAGCCGAAGTCAGTCAATGAGAAGTTAATTGGTGTTGCTAACTGATCCAATTAACAAACCAGCGCGGCTCGCACAATTCTGCTAATGTCGGGTGAGTTCAAAAGGCAGATTAGTGATTTTACGGAAACGGAAGAATTAGCACATGACATTGAGTTAACTCAATCAAATCAGTTGCGTTATATAGCAGCTTTCATTCAGTTATTACTATTCATGATCTGTATATCATGGCGGAGTTACAATGTTCCCAGCAATCTGGAGGGATAAACAGATCGGAAACATCAACTCCAAAGCGTGGCATTCTAAAAGTGCACACTATTGACAAGAAGTTTGCAGCGATCACTGCAGTGGAGGCAGGTACCAAATCAAGAGTGAAATTATGCGAGAGAGTTTGAAATTCGCCTAACACTCTTTCTACTTGGTTGAAAATGGCAGATAAGATTAAAGAATCCATGTTACAGTCAGGTGCAAAGCGTCAGTAGGTTAAAGGAGGCTAAGTTTCCTGAACTTGAGGAAGCACTACTCAAATGGTTTAAGATAGCGCGGGACCAAAATGTCCCAATTAATGGTCCATGTCTATGCCGAAAAGCAATAGAACTAGCAACGCAACTTGGTATAACAGATTTTGTTGCCAGTACCGGATGGCTGAATCGGTTAAAAGAGAGAAATGACATTCTTTTCAAAGCTGTTTGTGGGGAATCAAAATCTGTAGATACCTATGTCTCGAATACATCGATAAGCCGAATCTTTTACTTGGTCCCCAGCGATTCGACTCATCGGGATTAGACTGTATATTGTCCTCAATATTTGCTAAAATCTTGAAATATTAAAAAGGCAACAAAAACCCAAAACATCTTACTCACTGAATGATAAAAATTTGTAATTAGATATTGTCTAGCTTTCTATAAACACATGTAACTGCTGAGATTAGCCATATAGATTTATTCCGTTAAATATGATATTTTATTAGAACATTTACTGCAAACCTTCCAAACACACTCTGTGAAAGAAATATTAATTAGCTTTCTCCAGATTTGTTTATTGATGTGTTTCAAAATTTAAATAATCATCTGTATGGATAACTGATTTACTGTATATTTAAACACTGTTGTGTTAAAGTTCAATTGACCTACACAAATACTTCAAGTTATCCGAGACTCAACAAGACTGAAAATTGCAAAAAATGAAGAAGTGTATAAGGATCAATCTTACACTTCATGACCATCGTTTGACCTTATGTGACATTTGAACAGGTATTTTGAATGCTGATCACTGCAGATCATTGTGATTATTGTGAGATCATTGTGGATTATTTAGCCATGTTTTTACACATCTCTGAAGTTTGAGGGTGGTCAGTGATTGTGAATGCCATGTTACTTCTCTATGTGGTTGTCAGCAACTGGTGAATCCCTGTGACGTCATTGGGAAACACTTTGCTTTTACAATCTCCAACGTACATGGGAACTCCGTCAGATTTACAATAAGTATCGTAGGTTTGTGCATTCTGCAGCTGTTTTAGGATAGTTTCTAAAATGTATATGGTACCTTCACCTAGAGATAGCTTATCTTTGAACATAGTTTGTAAAGATTACTCTTAGCTGAGACCATTTCGTTAATCTAGTCCCTGCACACTAAACCACCTCCGTGGTGTAGTGGTTAAAGCGTCCACCCTGAGCACGGAAGGTCGCGGGTTCGATCCCCGACCGTGTCATACCAAAAGACGTTAAAATATAGTACTTGTTGGTCCCTGCCTGGCGCTTGGCATTAATGGGTACAACAAGGACTGGTCGGCTCGGAGTCAGTATAATGTGTCTGAGTGGCGTATTCATGCTTCACCGCGGCATGGTATCTCAGTGGGCTAGCACTATAAAACCAGCTTAAGTCTCGGCTAGTACAAGCAGCCGCACCACATACACATACACACGCATGCACGTCGTCATATGAGCGAAATATTCTCAAGCACGACGTAAAACCCAATTTCACCTCACCCTGCACACTAATGTCCTGTGTTATCCTCAAGACAGTTTGGTTTCAATTGTTTAATTATCATTATCACATAGTTATCATTATAATGCCATCTTCTCTTTCTGGTTTACTGCTATTTAGGTTAACTTACAAAAGGCAACAAAAGACAGCCGAGGTTAGCAGCAAGTATTATTATATGCCATTCTGAGCAGTAGCAAGTATAGTGATTATATACTTCTATCTCTCTAAGTTTCCACCAATGAGATTCTGTCACTATATGAAAAGGCAAGAACAGATGTTGCCAATACTGATGTGCTGAAAGAAAGGAGGATGAAGAAGAGATCAAAGACTTATCCACAGCTTGTCTGTTGGCAACATGGTCCGATATTGTTTGGTACCAAAACATTCATGCAGACATGTAGGAATATATATGTCTGACAATTTAAACAAAAGTGAAGAGAGCAAAGATTCATCCAAAACATGTACGTTGGCAACATGGTCCGATATTGTTTGGTATCGAAACATTCACATAGACACACTGGAATATATATGTCTGACAATTTACACCATTAACAACACTTTCATTTATCAGAGCAACATTTACACTTTACTTGTAGACAACACACAGTCACCATGCGCAATAGCAGTGTATTGTCATTGTCATTATTAATATGCGTGCTACAGAGAAGATTATAATGCTTATATGTTGTCTCGCTTCTTGACCTAGGACTGCACGACGTTACCTGGTCTATAAACATTTGCGTTACAAAACAACATCCGCAGCGAAAAAGTAACAAACTTGGATTATATACACTGAATAGCAGTAACAGATGTGGTTATGGTATGCACAAAACAAATGCACAACATCTACCGACAGACACTACGATGCAATTAAGCTTGATTTGCCAAAGCCAACAGACGTTGCAAAAGAAGTGGAAACTGAAATAGATAGTTGTAGAGAAGTAGTACTAGACATTCTGCATGCACCCACATGAGACAGACAGTTTATACCTAACACTGTGAATTATGATCTCTGTCAGGTCTCAGCTAGTTGTCGCCTGTAGGGGAAAGAAATAGTGGTCATCGAATTGGACACTGTATGAGAGTTATCTGCCCCTATCACATGCAAAACTGTCGAGTTTCGAGCACTTCTAAAGTGATTTTCTTTGGAGGCCCGTTTGTCTGCTGCATATCCTTTCTTACAAAGGATGATGAGTGAACGCTTTAACCACTAGGCTACCTTACCGCCTGCATACAAAGACTGACTGACTGACTGAGTTTAGTTTTACGCCGCTTTTAGCAATATTCCAGCAATATCACGGCAGGGGACACCAGAAATGGGCTTAACGCATTGTGCCCATGTGGGGAATCGAACCCGGGTCTTCGGCGTGACGAGACAACGCTTGAACCACTAGGTTACCCCACTGCCCCTGCATACAAAGAACAGTCACCAGTACTGAATGCTAAGTTTAAAATGAGTAAACAGATACCTAAGTACAATGGCTCTGTGACGGCACCGACAGTACAGGAAAACCTAGAACCTTTCCTTAGTGTATATACTGTATATACTGTCAGTAGAGCATCGTATCCCAATTGAGTAGATCAATGCTCATGCTGTTGATCACTGGATTGTCTGGTCCAGGCTTGATTATTAACAAACTGCTGCCACATAGCTGGAATATTGCCGAGTGCAGCGTAAAACTAAACTCACTCAGTAGAGGATTGTCAGGGCACTGCTGATGGATACAGCACATTACAAAAGATGAAACAGTAATTCTTGTCACAGAAGTAGCTGTTGGAACTTGTAAATGTTGGACAAAGCCTTAGTTGTAGGACATGGTTGTAGCTGATTAAACATGACCATTTTAGACAAGACCTTAGTAGCAGCTTCAGAAATATGGACATTTTGGACGAGGCCTTGGTTGTAGCTGATTAAACATAAACATTTTAGACAAGACCTTAGTAGCAGCTTCTGAAATATGGACAGCCTTCTGAAATATGGACATTTTGGACGAGGCCTTGGTTGTAGCTGATGAAATATGGACATTTTGGACAAGACCTTAGTAGCAGCTTCTGAAATATGGACATTTTGGACAAGATCTTAGTAGCAGCTTCTGAAATATGGACATTTTGGACAAGATCTTAGTAGCAGCTTCTGAAATATGGACATTTTGGACAAGGCCTTGGTTGTAGGTGATGAAATATAGACAATTTTGAACATTTCTGTAGTTTAGACATGGACTTGGTAAAACATGAATAAAATTTATTGCTTATAGAAAAACTGCCAGTGAGTCATGTCTCTTAGTCCCTGTGGGTGACACATAGTGAGTGATCACTGTGATGATGAGAGGATTTACTGGATATGGTCATAAAGCAGTGTACCTGAGTCCATGATGGATGTGGGTGATGGTGTAACAGAAGACGATGCAGCAAGCAACTACTACAACGCCACACTTAGTCAACAATATATCCGCCTATCTTTGTGTCAACAACCATTTTCTACAGAGAGTTGCTACCTAATTCTAGGATCGGATATGTGTTTGTAAACAATGTGCACTATCAACAAACACAAAACATTTAATGCAGCGACGGTTCCATAAATTAACTAACAGACTTTTATCACTGCCCCCTCCCAACCGAACGTCTTATATCATGTCACTGTCAAACTATTACCTGCAAAGAAAATCACTTTATGTATTGCCTTGTTTCATTAGATGTTTAACACACCACCATTCATGATTCCTGTGAACACTTGTTACAATCAACCACAAATGTCAATCTCACTTTGCACAAATATGATAAAATATAACACTTAAATGCTCGAAACCTTACCATTTCAATAAATTTCAATTCATATCTCATAATTTTCAAATTATGAGGATATCCCATGCAATTGTTTTGTTATGTTCAGCTTTTCAATTGGTCAAAACTTTCTTTGGAAATAGACAGGCAAGAAGTTCTTCTTCAAGAGAACTTGTTCTCTTAAGGAGAAAACAAATATGATGCCTGTGTTGCAAAAATTGGACATTAATTAATGAAAGATTGCCCCAAATGTTCATTCTTTTTTTTCATGAGCACAAATGTTTTCATAGAAATGGTTGTCATGCTCACCAGCCATGACACAGTTAATCAAAACCCCACCATTATGATTGGGTGTAATGTTAATCAATAAGTTCCTTAACAGCACACGTTCAGACATGTTAAATAAGCAATAAGAGGCACCGGACAGTTTCACTACAAGAAATGATTAATCCCCAGTGTCTACAGAAGTCGGACAGGAACAAGAATAGCAGGAAAATCACACAGTCAGTGCAAGGGGAGATAACTGTGTACCCACCTGCACCTGTGGACATTGGACTAGCTGCAGGAGGTGATGTAGGAGCTGGGAATGATGACGACGATGTTTGAGACGTTGGTGATGTTGGTGATGTAGGAGAAGTTGGTTCTGCATCACCATTCTCTAGAGCCTTCTGTTAAAATGATAAAATGATTTACAATTTGTTTGATGTTTAACACAATACTCATCAATATGCAATCTATTTGACAGTAATGGAAGCGCGGTGGCTGAGTGGGAGTGATCTCTGTGTGCTGGCAATTACTTGCCCCACTCTGACAGTGTGGAGTTTGAATCCCGGAAGGGACTAAGCCAAACAAAGGTACATGTACTACAATCTGCAATATCACAGCGGGGGACACCAGAAATGGACTTCACACATTGTACCCATGTAGGGAATCGAACCCGGGTCTTCAGCGTGACAAGCGAACACTTTAACCACCAGGCTACTCCACCATCCATTGATCTATACAGACATGCAATCATCCAATCCAGTCTGACCATCCAATCCACCTGGTCGCTTCTTACAATCAGCACAGGTATATTTGGACCTAACCTAGACTCTCCACATGGTCAATGTTGGGATTTCATCTGAAGACTCTTTACAAGGGATTATTATTATCTCTGGTCAGAAATGTATATTCTTATCTCTCTCTCTCTATTTTTTTTTTTATTTACCATTTTTTTACTTGTTTATAGGTACAGTACATGTGGTCAACGTATGACATTGATAAGTACAATTGTGCTGATATACAAGATTACAAAAGCAATCAATGATATTTCTATTAAAAAGTCTGCAAATGGCATCAGATGTATGTATGTATGTATGTATGTATGTATGTATGTATGTATGTATGTATGTATGTATGTATGTATGTATGTATGTATGTATGTATGTATGTATGTATGTATGTATGTATGTATGTATGTATATTTTTATCTCTTAGTTGAAATAAAACACTGTTCCGCAGGGTGTTATAATGAGTTGGGTTTAATGCCACTTTGAACAGGACTTCAATTATATCCTGGGAATGTCAAATCTTTGAAGGGCATTTAGAAGTGGAATGCACAAGAAAAGCAAGACATGAGGATGTCAACTGGGAATGTCAGTTTAAAGTGGGGGGAAGCCCAATGTAGAGGAAGTCTCAGATGTGTATTATTCTGCAGGGATGGAAATAACCCATTGCCCGACGTCCGAGTCCAGTGTTTTTTTCTGTCGGCAAGCAAATTTGTATATCACACTGTACCGGTGTCCAGTTGACTTTCCAATGTTAATTATGTTGTTAATTTAAAAAATCAGCAAGAAAACGGTTGGTATACTGGAAAAAATATCAGGGCAAGTGACTTTACATGTGCCACTATACCGGAGTACACTATCAATTTTAAAGTTATTTTCACCCCTGTTCTGGTGAATCTGACAAGCATGAGTATGGTGCTGAAAGACCAAGAGAGTTACAGTTTTCTGGCATACCCTAGTGACGTAACTCTGCATCTTATGTGACTAGTCAACCAGTGCCCCTGGGTTAAAATATGCACTAAGAAGTAGACATTTATATTCATCAGTATTGTTGATTCATCTGATCTCCCGTGTGAGTGAGTGAGTTTAGTTTATACGCCGCACTCAACAATATTCCAGCTATATGGCGGCGGTCTGGAAATAATCGAGTCTGTACCAAACAATCCAGTGATCAACAGCATGAGCATCAATCTGCGCAAATGGGAACCGATGACATGTGTCAACCAAGTCAGCGAGCCTGACCACCCAATCCCGTTAGTCGCCTCTTACAACAAGCATGGGTTACTGTAGGTTCATCCTAACCCGGACCTTCACGGGTATCTGATCTCCTGACTCAACAATGCTTAGCAAGACTCTTAAATATGGACAACTTGTCCTCAACCTTCAGTTGCCTTGGTTACCAGTGTCTCAGTGTGTCTTCCCATCCCGAGTAACCATGGTGACTATCTCAACAAGAAATCTGCAACACTGTCTCACCTTCCTCGATTTTCGCCTCTTTTTCTTCTCATCCTCTGACATGTGGAATTCTTTTGCTTTCGAGATGCGCTTCACTTTTGAAATCTGGAAGCAAAGCATAAACATGATGAAGAACATGTTGTACAAATCACTCTGAACTGGTTTCCCCTGGAGCAACCATGTGGCTGAGATCAAGTGATATCCTATTTATTAACACATTAAATATCTGATGTGAGTGATAAGTTTTCTTATATGGGGAAACAAGCTAAAAGAGGGTTGCCTGTGCTTGACGATCATTTGTTCACTTGTTTCTTTCAGTCATTTGGTTCCTCTTTGATCAACAGATTCTTCTCAGGAACAAAAATAGAAATATTATTGATTGATTCCCCAGACTGCACTAATAGCTGCTGAACTTTCTATCAGTAAGATGTTGGAATTAATCCTTACCAGTTTTTGTTCCTCTTTGAGCCGTTGTTCAAACTGGTCCCGCGCTGAACGCACAAACTCCTTTAGTTTGCTGGGAACCTTCAGCTGTGGCTTCTCCATAACACCCAAAGTTACATCAGCAAACAGCCTGAAATTAAACCATCGATGTCTGGCTGTCCCTCCAACCACACCCTTAACTGGGTAGTGGAAGTTTACACATACTCATATCCTTATTCAGAACCCAATCTCTGACTCAAAAGGCCACACTAACATGTCTTCCTCATAGACGTATGAACCTGACCTGGAAAAATACTGTATTTGATCAATAACACAGCTACAGAACAATCACTCAAAAATGGGGATTGTGTTCTTTTGTCAAGGGACCACACACAATGGTGCCTGTGTTCAAGGGACCACACAGAATGGTGCCTGTGTTCCTGTGTTCATGGGACCACAAAGAATTGTTCCTGTGTTCCAGGGACCACACGGTGTGGTGTCTGAGTTCCTGAGTTCAAGGGACCACACAGAATGGTGCGTGAGTTCCTGAGTTCAAGGGACCACACACAATGGTGCCTGTGTTCAAGGGACGACACCGAATGGTGCCTGAGTTCCTGTGTTCAAGGGACCACACAGAATGGTGCCTGTGTTCCAGGGACCACACAGAATGGTGCCTGTGTTCAAGGGACCACACAGAATGGTGCCTGTGTTCAAGGGACCACACGGAATGGTGCCTGTGTTCCTGGGACCACAAAGAATTGTTCCTGTGTTCCAGGGACCACACGGTGTGGTGTCTGAGTTCCTGAGTTCAAGGGACCACACAGAATGGTGCCTGTGTTCCAGGGACCACACAGACTGGTGCCTGAGTTCCTGAGTTCAAGGGACCACACAGAATGGTGCCTGTGTTCCAGGGACCACACAGAATTGTACCTGAGTTTAAGGGACCACACAGAATGGTGCCTGTGTTTAAGGGACCACACAGAATGGTGCCTGTGTTCAAGGGACCACACAGACTGGTGCCTGAGTTCAAGGGACCACACAGAATGGTGCCTGTGTTCAAGGGACCACACAGAATGGTGCCTGTGTTCAAGGGACCACACAGAATGGTGCCTGTGTTCAAGGGACCACACAGAATGGTGCCTGTGTTCAAGGGACCACACAGAATGGTGCCTGTGTTCAAGGGACCACACAGACTGGTGCCTGAGTTCAAGGGACCACACAGAATGGTGCCTGTGTTCAAGGGACCACACAGAATGGTGCCTGTGTTCAAGGGACCACACAGAATGGTGCCTGTGTTCAAGGGACCACACAGAATGGTGTCTGTGTTCCTGTGTTAAGAGAGACACACAGAATCATGTTCCTGTGTAAAATCAGCAACACAGAATGCGCCCTGTGTTGCTTTATTAAACTGTGTTGTTTTATTAAACTTTAAAGTGGCTATACTCTCAAGGATTCCTGTATTAGAGGTCCTACTCACGGATGAGACATGAGGTCTGTTACACTCGGTAGCCCGTTCTTGCAGGCCTCAGTCGTCAGTATAGATTCTAGCACAGATCCTGAAGAAAAAAAGAAATTATGAACAATTTCCACAAGTTAATTTCATGGATAAATTGTGTAGCAATGTAAATCAAAAGGCCAATGTATGTACTCGACTACTCTAACATGGCAGAAAGTGAGTGAGTATGATTTACTGTTTCTTGCCACTTTCAGCAATATACCAGCAATGGACACCAGAAATGGACTTCACACATTGTACTCATGTGGGGAATTGAACCCGGGTCTTCAGTGTAACGAGCAGACGCTTTAACCATTAGGCTACCCCACCGCCCCGCATAGCAGAAAGGGTCTCTGAACAACAAAAGAGAGCTTCCAAACACAATCACCCTTGAACACACGATGCTAAATGTGTTTTCTGTTTGCTAGATATTTTAACGGCACATGCGGACTAGTTTGTCCTGACTCACGTATCTGTGCCGGGCAGTCAGGTGGGAAGCCATCACAAGACGCAGTATTCAGTTGTCTACCAAATGCCATCTCGTACAATAGATGTCCAAAGCAGTACACATCTATCGCTTCTGTGGTCTGAAATAACAATAAGTTTATTTTCTTGTTTACTGTTACACTTGAGTCTGTAAATAATTGGGGTGTTTAACCTACAATCCAGTTATTGATATCATGAGTGAGTGAGTGAGTGAGTTTAGTTTTACGCCACTTTTAGCAATATTCCAGCAATATCACGGCGGAGGACACCAGAAATGTATTGATATCATGAGCAATGGTGGACACAATTAGGTCATCATGACATGCATCAACTATCAGCAAACATGACTATCCAATAGACTCGATTCTTACAGACCGCCGCCATATAGCTGGAATATTGAGGAGTGCAGCGTTAAACAACAAACAAACAAACAAATCCCTCTTCCGATAACCATGGTTCCCAAGGACTCCAATTCTGCCGGGGATCTTCATGGAAAGAAAAACAAGGTAACATACCTGGATCTTCTTGAACTGAGTGAAGAAGGGTCTGTGATACGAGGGCAGACCGAGCAACCAGTTCTCAAGCTCCAGCAGCTGACAAGTGCTGCCATTTATGATGATGTTGCCAGCGTGGAGGTGACCTAAAACAGATGACACCACTCTACTGACAAACATGGACATTTCCCAAGGGATGATCAAAAGAGAGGAAAGCCTAAGGGCCGGGTTTGTCAAACCACTGAACAACCTGGCTAAAAAACAAATATATGTTGTTGAAATACTTGTGTTAAATGCATCAAACAACTCTCACTCATTTTCCCATGGAAACAATACTGTTGATGGTGATTCTAATAAATCCTCTCAAACTAAGGAAAGAATATTCACATGGTTGTATTTAGTATTCCAAACAAACTGGTTTTGAGTTTTGCTAACAGTTTATATATTTTCAAACTTTGAGTTGTTTTAATAATGCATTTCTCAACATTGTTCATTGCATTAGTGAAACCTAAGCCTCAAAATCTCTTTGATTATCTAACAGAGAAATACAATAAATCTCCACGAAGTAGCCCATTTCATTTGTCCTCCCACGAAATATTGCTGGAATATTGCTAAAAGCTGCGTAAACCATACTCACACTCTCACTCTACCAATCTGTAACTCCAGTATATACATGATCATTCTCGGTATACACACACACTAACCTCAAGATCTCTCCTTGATTGTTGTGATTTCAGATTACCTGCCCTTGATTTTCCTGAACATTTTATGGACCAATCACTGACTGAGTTTGGTTTTACGCCGCTTTTAGCAATATTCCAGCAACATCACGGCAGGGGACACCAGAAATGGGCTTCACACATTGTGCCCATTTTGGTATTCGAACCCGGGTCTTCGGCGTGACGAGCCAACGCTTTAACCATTAGGCTACCCCACCGCCCCTATGGACCAATCAAATGTGAAGATAAGGAGAAAAAGAAACAGGAAACTAAAGAGTTCAAGAAACCAAAGAAGCGTCAGTTTCAGTCAACATGAAGACATCCCTTCCATCAAAGTGATTGTATATGTTGGGTTTTCTTTTGCATGTCAGTCAGTTTTTCTATGCCCAGTTTCTCCTAAATAAACTCTACTGTAATCATTGAAGAATGTCCACCATGTTGTTGATATAGCAAACCTAACATTGAGGCTGCTTTCTAATATATATGCTGGTAGTTCCATGAGTACAGAAATAATCAAAGTTCATGAAAATCAAGTGGAGGTAATTTGAAATATAGAGAAATATAGATGAATGGATCCACAGGTTAGTGTAGGTGTAACAAATAAGAGCCCTTGAGATATGATGGGAATTTAAAATATACTGCCAATAAGTTATATTCTGTTCATTGACGTTTATTTAAATTTTATGTGTTATTTGTTTTATTTGTTATTATAATAGAAGTACATTAACCCTGACATAAAGCCATTCATTTCAGCTAGACAAAACACTAGTGAGTGAGTCAGGTATTACACCGCTTTTAGCAATATTCCAGCAATACCAGAACAGGGCGTCACCCATTGTACCATGTGGGACATTGAACCTGGGTCTTCAGTGTGATGAGTGAACACTTTAACCACTAAGCTACCCCACCGCCCCCAATACACAAAGAAACATACTTACCATAAGGAAATCCCTTGTCTTGTAAAAATTTTAATGCCTCCAATATCTGTTTTCCAAATGTTTTGATCGTCCCCATGTTAAGAGCCAATAAATTCTTCGGATTTCCATATTTTTTTAAACAGTGTCCTTTAGGCTTGCACTTGCAAATCATATCTCTTAGACTGCCATTTTCACTGAACTGACGAATCACCATTCCTCCATTCTCATTGGCTGTTGCAAATATTGTCGGATGTATGTAAGGATGCTGTAAAAGGAACAGGTCAAATAGTTTCAATACAAATGTTCTACAACAAAGGTACTGGGAAAGGAACTGTTATGATCTGGCTAAAACAAACAACAAAAGAGTTGAGATAGGAATTAACTAACCTCACTAAACCAAACACCAAATGTGCCAAGATAGGAAATGCTATAAGCTGGCTAAACCATACAGCTAAAGTGCCAAGAAAAGAACTGTTATAACCACACTAAACCAAACAGCTAAAGTGCCAAGACAAGAACTGTTATAACAACACTAAACCAAACAGCTAAAGTGTCAAGACAAGAACTGTTATAACCACACTAAACCATACATCTAAAGTGCCGAGACAAGAACTGTTATAACTACACTAAACCATACAGCTAAAGTGCCAAGACAAGATTGTTATAACCACCCTACACCAAACAGCTAAAGTGCCAAGACAAGAACTGTTATAACCACACTAAACCATACAGCTAAAGTGCCGAGACAAGATCTGTTATAACCACACTAAACCAAACAGCTAAAGTGCCGAGACAAGAACTGTTATAACCACACTAAACCATACAGCTAAAGTGCCAAGACAAGAACTGTTATAACCACACTAAACCATACAGCTAAAGTGCTAAGACAAGAACTGTTATAACCACACTAAACCAAACAGCTAAAGTGCTGAGACAAGAACCGTTATAACAACACTTAACCAAACAGCTAAAGTGCCGAGACAAGAACTGTTATAACCACACTAAACCATACAGCTAAAGTGCCAAGACAAGAACCGTTATAACCACACTAAACCATACAGCTAAAGTGCCAAGACAAGAACTGTTATAACCACACTAAACCATACAGCTAAAGTGCCGAGACAAGGACTGTTACAACCACACTAAACCAAACAGCTAAAGTGTCGAGACAAGAACTGTTATAACCACACTAAACCATACAGCTAAAGTGCTGAGACAAGAACTGTTATAACAACACTAAACCATACAGCTAGAGTGCTGAGACAAGAACTGTTATAACAACACTAAACCATACAGCTAAAGTGTCGAGACAAGAACTGTTATAACCACACTAAACCATACACCTAAAGTGCCGAGACAGGAACTGTTATAACCACACTAAACCATACACCTAAAGTGCCGAGACAAGAACTGTTATAACCACACTAAACCATACAGCTAAAGTGCCAAGACAAGAACTGTTATAACCACACTAAACCATACAGCTAAAGTGCTAAGACAAGAACTGTTATAACCACACTAAACCAAACAGCTAAAGTGCTGAGACAAGAACCGTTATAACAACACTTAACCAAACAGCTAAAGTGCTGAGACAAGAACCGTTATAACAACACTTAACCAAACAGCTAAAGTGCCGAGACAAGAACTGTTATAACCACACTAAACCATACAGCTAAAGTGCCAAGACAAGAACCGTTATAACCACACTAAACCATACAGCTAAAGTGCCGAGACAAGGACTGTTACAACCACACTAAACCAAACAGCTAAAGTGTCGAGACAAGAACTGTTATAACCACACTAAACCATACAGCTAAAGTGCTGAGACAAGAACTGTTATAACAACACTAAACCATACAGCTAGAGTGCTGAGACAAGAACTGTTATAACAACACTAAACCATACAGCTAAAGTGTCGAGACAAGAACTGTTATAACCACACTAAACCATACAGCTAGAGTGCTGAGACAAGAACCGTTATAACAACACTTAACCAAACAGCTAAAGTGCTGAGACAAGAACCGTTATAACAACACTTAACCAAACAGCTAAAGTGTCGAGACAAGAACTGTTATAACCACACTAAACCATACAGCTAAAGTGCCAAGACAAGAACTGTTATAACCACACTAAACCATACAGCTAAAGTGCCGAGACAAGGACTGTTACAACCACACTAAACCAAACAGCTAAAGTGTCGAGACAAGAACTGTTATAACCACACTAAACCATACAGCTAAAGTGCTGAGACAAGAACTGTTATAACAACACTAAACCATACAGCTAGAGTGCTGAGACAAGAACTGTTATAACAACACTAAACCATACAGCTAAAGTGTCGAGACAAGAACTGTTATAACCACACTAAACCATACAGCTAGAGTGCTGAGACAAGAACTGTTATAACAACACTAAACCATACAGCTAAAGTGTCGAGACAAGAACTGTTATAACAACACTAAACCAAACAGCTAAAGTGCCGAGACAAGAACTGTTATAACCACACTAAACCATACAGCTAAAGTGTCGAGACAAGAACTGTTATAACCACACTAAACCATACAGCTAAAGTGCCGAGACAAGAACTGTTATAACCACACTAAACCATACAGCTAAAGTGCCAAGACAAGAACCGTTATAACCACACTAAACCAAACAGCTAAAGTGCCGAGACAAGAACTGTTATAACCACACTAAACCATACAGCTAAAGTGCCGAGACAAGAACCGTTATAACCACACTAAACCAAAGAGCTAAAGTGCCTAGACAAGAACTGTTATAACCACACTTAACCAAACAGCAAAAGACCCGACATATGACCTGGCTAAGCCAAACACCAAATGATATAATGGCAACATTCTGTGTTGTGTAGATGTGTAGCCCTTTGATACAAACTTCTCAAAGCTCTTCCACTTTTCTTCACAGATCTTGCAGATCTTCCAAGAGCTAAAGAAACAGCTTTAACTGTGTTAGTATCTACACTGAATCATCCCTCCAGGAGTTGTTCATCCATATATCGTATCCTTACTTAATACTCAGACGTCTAAATGGCCCTCAAAGAAGTTACGAAAAGGAGAAGTAATATATTTCTGAGGGACACCTGGTGTTGGCCACTTCTGTTCCAGGTTACACCTGATGAGCGTTGATTGAAAGACAGCCTTACCTGAATGGAAGTTAGAACTTTCATCAATGCTGACAGTTCCTTCTCTCCTATTGTGCTGTCTGGACCATAGTCACTCTGTAGAAGTAAAAACATATTTGGAAATTATAACTATAAATTGTACATTTATATACTTATCCTATCTAACGTCTTGTACTCTCTCTCTTCAATTTGAAACACTGAGTGGAAATGAACTGCAAATAAAATCCTAAACCTACAATTTTTAGTGAAACTACAGTTTGTGACCTGTGGATACAGGTGGGCAAGGGAAGTAACTCTATATTCAATCAGGCCACAAGTCCACTGTGGCAATTCTTCAAATATGACCTATTCTCCTTCAAGATTACCAACACTACGCCGCAGTGATGGCTTAGCACCACAACCCTGCCACAGGCTAATTTGCATATCAATCATGTCACCAGACTTTTCTCTTGTTTGTAAACAAACATGCTTTTTCTGAAATCAGAAGACTGTCCTAATGCAAGATTTATTTTCAGCTTTCCATATTGTTTTGGATAGTGATACAGATATTCTTAAATAACAGCAACAGTGACATGACAACAGTTGAAAATCTATTGAATTTACTGTGTAATATGTGACGAATAATCACATGCCGGCTGCCTGTGGCTCATATATTCTGAGATTGAGAGTGGATAATGACCATCTCGGTACTATAGATCTTGATATCTGCAGACCTACCCATGAGAGCATCTGCCTCTGTTTGGGTTGACTGAGTGGCTTCACCAGGATGTAGCTCTTTCGAATCCTCCAACCTGGAACAAGGGGAGGCAATATGAGAGGAGAGTCAAAGTCAGTCAGGTTTAATATCCCATTCATTCATGCATTCATACAATGCCACTGTTTAACGTGAGTGAGTCTAGTTTTGTGCTGCTTTCAGCAATATTCCACCAATATCACGGAGGGGACACCAAAAATGGGCATCACACATTGTACCCATATACAGGGGTGGAAATAACCCATTGCCCGACGTCCAAGTCCATTGTTTTTTTCTGTCGAGCAAGCAAATTTGTATATCACACTGTACTGGTGTCACGTTGACTTTCCAATGTTAATTATGTTGTTTATTTAAAAAATCAGCAGGAAAACGGTCGGTATAGTGGAAAAATTATCAGGGCAAGTGACATTACATGTGCCACTCTAACGGAGTACACTATCAATTTTACAGTTATTTCCACCCCTGATATAAGAAATTAAACCCTGGTCTTCGATGTGACGACAATGAACTAACCACTTACCTTACATAACAATGATTGTTCTGGAAACCAAGATAAATACACCACATACACTCCATAGTGTCATCATTGATGATTGTGCTAATTATTTACCTGCATCAGGAAATGGTTCTACAACATCCCAGTTGGGTTCAGAACGGAATATCATCGAGACATGCTGAAGAGCAACCTCTGGAACAGACGAGGGAAAAACATATATAACATTTAGAAACAAGAGGCTATATCAGTCTGTGGAATCAGAGACTATATGAAGTAGATTGTATGGTCTCTGGTGGAACTGAATGTTAGATAGGCTGGAGTGTTTGGGTGAAATACACGTAGAGAAACAAATAAAGGAACACAGGAAAATTCAAGTGTTCCTTTAATATTTTTTAGTTTTCATCACCAGCTTTGAATACTGACTGAGTTTGGTTTTACGACGCTTTTAGCAATATTCCAGCAACATCACGGCAGGGGACACCAGAAATGGCCTTCACATATTGTGCCCATGTGGGGATTCGTACCCGGGTCTTCGGCGTGATTAGCCAACACTTTAACCACTAGGCTACCCCACCGCCCCCCAGCTTTGAATAGCACTGTGGTTATGAAAACTGGAAAATAATAAAGGAACACTTAAATTTTCCTGTGTTCCTTTATTTGTTTCTCTACGTGTATTTCTACCATATGAAGGTGAGCAATGCCAATCATGGTGTTACACACTGAATCCATGTGACAGTGAGTGAGTGAGCGAGTCAGGTTTCATGCCTCTATTTAGTAATATTCCTGCAACATCATGGTGTGTTCCACATATTGGTCCCATATTGGGAATTAAACCCAGGCAGTCGGCATGACAAGTGAACGCTTTTAGCACTAGACTACACCCTGGCCCAAACCAAGGTGGAATATCATAACCCAAGTATTCAGCATGCTTTTCACTTTTATCACAAGACTATCCCAGAGTCAAAACCAGGTTGTAGTCCTTCCTTGCTGTACAGTTATTTTCATCAGTGACTATGATGATAAACAATTCCGAATGAGATTTCTATAATCATTATATTCATGAGCAAAAAAACCTAAAAATCAATAAAACATTTTCATCTTGATTATTTTGAGGATGTTATGATGAGGATGAGAGAGAAGATGTTACCGAGGTGATTGGCCTGGTAGTTGCTGGGGTCCAGGAACCTCTTCACAGCAATACTGCTGGACAGCAGGTGACTCCCCAACACTATCGCCAGGAATTGCTGCAATCAGATATAAGAACTAAACAGGTTAAACAGTTTTCAATATGTCTGCTCTATAATAATAGACAAATTTGTCTGATTTCCGAAACAACTTCATTCTTGAGCACCACACCTTGTTCAAAAGTTTTGACTGCCATTATCACTTTCTAACCTTAGATGGTTGAATATGCCCTTTCACTCGTCATCTTGGATATGTCAGAAATGTAGTTATTACTTGATTAACTGATCGGACAAGAAGTCAAAAGTATACCTGGCCATTGACTTGGTAAAACTTGAACTAAACCTTACCAATAATTTTGGTTTAGTTGAGTCACAGTGGAAACAAGAGTCATCTGTTCCTGATCATTCTAATTTTGACAGTATGCTGGGTATATAAAAAAATAATAGTTCCTGCTGGATTTAGCTAGCAAAAATGGCTAGTGAACTAATCTATTAAAAATTTAACAAGCAACAGTGTTATCTATTAGTATGTTATATGCCAGTGTTCAATCCGCTGAACGTACCTCTAGCCCTCTCTGCCGGACTGCGATGAACTCCCTGTCAAAGTTACCAAACACTTTCTTCGGTGGAAGTGGAAGTTCTATGTTGGACTGACGTAGTTGAGACTCAAGATTATCAAAATCACTGTAGCGTTTCATCACCTGCCAGGAATTCTCTTTCAGGGGACCTCTTTGGACTCGGAGAATGTACTCCTGGAACACAAGACAGTAGGTTCCAAGACATTTTGAACATTTCATCATTTGTAGTGAGTGAGCTGTTACTAGTGTTAGCAATATTCCAGCAATATCACAGCAGGTGACACCAGAAATGGGCTTCACACATTGTACCCATGTAGGGAATCAAAACCAGGTCTTCAGTATGATGAGCAAATACTTCAATCAATAGGCCACCCCACCGCCCCTCAATATTTGCAGATAACTGACACATGACAACAGTTTATACCATATCCAATTTTAAAGAATTTCACATCATAAACAAAGCATGCACAAAGCATTGTTAAAGATGAAACAATTAGTTAAGGTATTATTTAATCAGCTGGGTGCTGTTCCACTAACCAATCTTAGCCCTACGCCAATCGTAAACCCCTAAAATCCCAATCTTAGCATGACGTTACGATCGGCATACAGTTCCACTAACCAATCTTACCTAAGTCAATTGTAAAGTTAAGATTCAAAGTCTAAGTTGCTCATGACCAACTTAGGATAGCTAAAATCAATCGTAGAGAAACCAAAATGGTGGCTTTCCTATTCTATGTGAAAAATAAGAGCGAGCATTTCACCGTGAGCGTCCCCTAAAATCCCCCATGAAATGAATTTGTATATTTCTGTGATGTAAACAAACACTGCACTGAAGCCTTACAAATGTCAGGCCAGTCTGACCACTGTGGTCATGGGAACACAACCGAGCGAGTCGGTGTAACACATTTGTACAACAATATTGCAACGTCATGGGACAGCTGTGAAGTGAACAATGTTCTGAAGCAAAAACATACAAATATGTTTGATTTCACTGGGCATATTTGGTGGGGGATTCTAAAGGCAGGCCGCGTGTTATTCAAGACCACTGACAGATTCTACATACGTTATAGCCTCCTCACGGCTTGTTTATTCTGATTGACAAGGTTCAGGCACACATTAAAAGCTCTGACACAATTGACATTTTTAAAGTTCAGACTTAAAATCTGTTCTCAGTATATTACTTATAATCTCGGCTGTAAATACTCTCGTGTAAATTATCTGTACATAGCGCTTTGAGCATGCCCCAGGATGTGGAATAGGCACACTATAAATATGCATTTATTATTATTATATTATGCCTGATACCCAGCGTTCACACGCACTTGCACCTGAAACCAAGGTGCTCACTACCCTAATATTTTGCTCTAGGTTTTTTCTCCACGTTTACACTTGGTTTGAAAAATACCCATGAAGGACCGGGTTAGAATATTGAACTTCAATAACCCATGCTTGTCGTAAGAGGCCACTAACGGGATCTGGAGGTCAGGCTCGCTTCATTGGATCGGATCGTGCTCATGCTGTTGATCACTGGACCTGGTCCAGAGTCGATTATTTAAGCGATACCTAAGCGTTCACTAACATGAATGCTCATGTTAGTGGAACGGGTGTAACTTTTAGCTAAGACGATTGTAAAATTGGCGTAACTAGCTAAGATTGATCTTAGATAAGATCGGTTAGTGGAACGGCACCCTGAGCAGTATACTCATAAATCTTAAGGTGAGCTATGTTCATTATTCTCAACCTCAGAGACACCAATGTGAAGACCAGTATTGCAAAAGCCAGTATTGAGAAGGCCAGTATTGCAAAGGCCAGTATTGAATAGGCCAGCATTGCAAAGCTGTTGGTATCGAAGCTGACTGCAATACCTGGCATGAAAAGGTTGCTTCATATGATAAACTTCAGTTTGCCAGTATATTTTTACGAACATGTTTGATTGTGTGATTAGTAAAGCTCTCTCAGACATAATCTGGATAACCATGCTAACCAGCAAGCAGGTGGCCAGCATTGTTGTGCAAGGGAAAACTTTGATTATATAAAACAGCTAAAACAAACAGAAAAATTGGATTCAAGAATAATGTTATCCTGCGCCACAGTCGATTGCGGGACTTCCATTCTGATTATTATGAGTGAGTGAGTTTAGTTTTATGCCACTTTTAGCAATATTCCAGCAATATCAGGGCCGGGAACACCAGAAATGGGTTTCACACATTGTACCCATGTGGGGAAGCGAACACAGATCTTCGGTGTGACAAGCAAACGCTTTAACCACTAAGCTACCCCACTGGCCCCTGATTTTTATGAACAGGAGGGTAATAACATGTCAAATAATGAGCTATATATTATCACATGAGTCTTTGCTATGACAGCTCCACTAATAAAAAACAGGAGCCAGATGTCAATTGATATTAACAGGACGCCCTTATGTATCTGTATGTGAAGGTCACTTTGACATTTGTCAATAGGCAACAGCCGGCCATCAGTTACTAGTATTAACAAACAGTCCTCCTATATTATGGTTATGTATTTGTGTCCAAGAGTCAGTGAGTCAGACCTTATTCAATACAGTATTTGAACACTAACAATTCCTGGAATTTAGATGAACTCAAACATAAGACTGCCTTGATTTCAGGGTCTGACTGGCAAATAGCAAACAAGGTCAATCAGTTGCAGGTAATCAGTAATTAGTGAATGTGAAAATGAAAATCATACTTGCCAAAAATAGTCCTGAACCAAAAGTTTGAATTTGTTCCAAGAGGCATTTTCTCATGTAATGCCCCAGAAATGACCATGATCATCATGGGTATGAGACATATGTTTTATATTTCTGATCTGTAATTCCTTGGTCATAAAAACATAACCACTGGTTCCATCCTTGTTATATTTGGGAAAACATGCATTCAAACCATTTTGGGAGCTGCTATGGAACATGTTCACCAACAATTCTTATTAATCTTATCCAAGGATCCAGGGTATACCTTCTCTGACACAACTAACCATGAAGATCGAGGATGCACAATAGATCAGAGAAGTGAGTGAGTGAGTTTAGTTTTATGCCGCTTTTAGCAATATTCCTGCAAGATCAGGGCGGGGTACACCAGAAACTGTCTTCACATGTTGAACCATGTGGGGAATTGAACCCCTGTCTTCAGCGTGATGAACTAACACTTTAACCACTAGGCTACTCCACAGCCCCTGATCAGTGAAGTGGTACAAAACTATTTTGTTTGGATATATCTACAATACAATTTTTTTATGTGATGAACAAATTCTATAAACTCATAAACTGTATCAAAATCTTATCCCTCCATTAGTTCATATATCAAGAAATAATATTCAAATCAACTAGTTACAGAAAAAACGGAGATTTACAGCTCACATTAAAACATAATTGTGTTTTCCAACACAATATGTTTATTTAGAATTTACATACATCATTGATCTCATTCTTGTTTCAAGTAGAAACTAGAATTTCATATAGCATGCAGACATTCATCTGGTAACCAAATCTTAAAAATTCAAACGTACACTGAGAAAATTTGAGACAAATCAAAATAGGGACATGTACGGACGTTCTGCCCCATGGTGACATGGTTCATGACCAGCTGATCTGCTGTTCTCTGCTCTACTCACGATATGGTCGCCATTTTTCTGAGCTGTCTCTATCATACACAATAAAAGCTGCGTGTCATCCAAAGACACCCTCGCAGAAGTCTTCTTCTCAAATAAATCGGCCATTTTGGTCTAAGGAGACATTCAAAACATTAAGCTGAACAGAATCGCGGAGCAGTCAGGAAGTCATTCCTTGTTTTCGTTTTGAAGGGGCGGTGCCATTTTGCCAGAAGTGAAGTTGGACAGACAGATTTACGATTAGTTTTGCGACATACATTTATATTATCATTGTCTATCTTTCAATCACAATATACAATAGTTCACATGGATACATAGCCAAACGTATAAAGACATCATAATATGTTTTAGAGAGATACTGAGTACTGTTGAAAACTATTATCATTTCACGACAATGAGGAGTCACGTGCCCAAACAACTCAGCAGTCGAGCACGTGTTCGGAATATTTGACAGTTCCTGCTTATTGCATATAATTTAACGAAGCAGCTTAGACCTGTTTGGAAGATTATTTTTTAGATTGTTTAAAGAAAACAAATGACAACTGTTTAACAAGCTTTATTTCATAAAAATGATTTTGTTTTTAATCATTTATCATGACCATGAATTATACTAGGCGTACATGTCGTGACTACGCATTGTGAAAGAGTCATAAATATGTAATATGTATGTACCTTGTATATTCAGTCCCGTAGCGGCAGAGTGTGGACTATTGCGTGAATGATTACGCTACAATAAGAATGAACTGAAATATTCGTGAATTAGATAATATTATTAAGAGAAATAAGGTAAAATTGTAAGATGATAGTTCATTACGTGGCCATTCATTTCAATATTTTAATGGACAATTAACAAAAGTACTTTCATGGTTTGGTATAGATTCCCCCATCCTCACTTGTCCCTTCCTCTTTCAAAATGCAAATAAATATATGGATAAGCATGTGAGTTTAGCAAGTGATTTCATTTTTCAAATAAAATACACCATGGCTATATCTCAGATTTTGGCACAATGCCACTAAGAAAATGCATCTTCATGTATTTTTTTCACTTTAACAACTTTTGGTTCAACAGATCTGTAATTGTGATAGTTGATGAATAAATTATCCGTATCATTTGTGAACAATATAAAAGTGGTAATCCTTGATCCCAGTACTAATAGCTGCATGGAAGAATGGAAAAGTTATTATGGTAAGTGTCGATTCATTTCAGGATGAAAACTATGTCAGTGAAAACGTTAAGAATCCTTGACACGCTTTTAAGAATAAGTGAAACCATAAAAAAATCAAGAAAAAGAGTGAGTAATAATTATTACATGATACTGTACAATAGCTCCCTTACGTAATTTGATATAAATCTGACGCTTTTACGAATTGTGAAATTTTAAACCCCCCAAAATATGAGTAATAATTGTTACATAATCATATACAATAGCTCCCTCAGTAATTTGATATAAATCTGACTGTAAATTAATTCAAGTCTAACCTTTGAACTCTGCATTAGTTAAAGGATAAAGTGTTGAGTAGATTACATCTGTGAGGTCATGTTATCACTACACTGGCCTTGACATTAGGTTCAAGAAGGTGTAACTGGTTTATCACTGACTTGGATATTGCTGGACTCTCTCTGCCAGTCACTAAAGGTAGTTATCATCCGATTGAAGACACAATATGGCTGTATATTGCCCCAAGTGCCTTCAAGGATTGTTGACATATCAACGAACTTTGCCTTTACTAAGTGTGAACTTGATATCTATGTCAAAGCATTATTTTGCTCAGTGTGTTGGGGTGTTGTTTCGTCTGGGGCAGATCTTAAGGTCGCGCAATTGATTGTACAGAGTTGCCTCCCTTTGGATGCCAGCAACCTGTGATCATAGGTTCAAACCCAATATTTATCCCTGATGTGTTTCTAGGTTTGTCAACCCCAGACCTCCACTCAGGGGTCTCACCAAAGTGGTTGGGACAGTGGAGTAGCCTAGTGGTCTAAGTGTTAACTTGTTCCACTGAAGACAGAGTTCTATTCCCCAAATGGGAAGAATGTGTGAAGGCCATTTCTGGTGTCCCCAGTGTAGCGAATTTGCTGGAATATTGCTCAGAGTGTAAAACCTGACTCACTCACCCGTGAAGATCCGCGTCAGGTGGCCAGGTTTGCTTGCTTAAGTGGGGTTGGGTATTGCGAACATTTTCGTATTGCGATATATTGTGATATGTGTTGGTGTATTGCAATATGTATTGCAATATATATATTGTGAAAGTGTAACACATGTTTAAAATTAGCTCTTTCAACACCAGTCAACCATAGACTTTTACTGCCATTTTTTATCATATTATTCAAATAATACAAATACAATTTAAATAAGTTATTTTATCAATGAAAATGAAGCTTACACATTATAAGTGTTTTCAGACATTGTGAAAAGTGATAGATTTAATAAATGAATCATATGTTAGGTAGGTTCCTAAAATTATATGTCATTTTGATGTGACTACTGCCTGGCCAGTTTACTGGCCTAAGGTGTCTTGGTCGATTTTCTGGCCTGTGGTGTTGAATGGGTTAACTAAAGTAATGAAATTACTGTCTTCCTTTCTTTTTGAAACAATGCCACTGGCTACTGTCAGGACACATATGTGATTAACAAATAAACATTCTCAAAACTATTAATGTATCAGAATATAAAGGAAATACAAATGTTATTAGTATTTTTTACTACATCACGCAAATTACCGATCACGGTCACGGAAATTGCTGATCATATCAGGTCAACCGGTTCATGAAAAATGTACCGCAGTATATCGTATTGCGATTTTTTAATTGCAATATACTGGTTAACCGTTATCTCCCACCCCTACTGGCTAGGTTGACACATGTCATTGTGTCTCAATTGCTCATGCTGTTGATCACTGGATTGTCTGTCCCATACTCGATTATTTACAGACTGCTGCCATATAGCTGGAATATAGCTGAGTACAGCGTAAAACTTAACTCAGTCCAGTACAGGAAGATAGGTGGGGTAACCTGCTGATTAAAGCATTTGCTCGTCACAGTGAAGCCCCCGATTCAATTCCCCGACATGGGTTCAATGTGTGAAAGCCGTTTCTGGTGTTGGTGGAATGTTGCTAAAAACAGCATAAACCATACTCACTTGCTCACTCACTAAAGCAGTAAACGTCTATGACCTGCTTCTCCCTGTATATCACTCAGTTTAATTTTTGTTTAATTCATTTGATGTTTGTTTTGTTGTTTAATGCCACACACAGCAATATTATGGCGGAGTTCTGTAAATATTCGAGTCTGGAGCAGACAATCCAGTCATCAGCAGCGATGAGCATTGATTTAATTCATTTGAAGGATAATACGGTTGCAAGATGGTATTCTGTGTTTCTTGTCATTATTTCAGAGTAAAGTGTGTGTGCATGTTGCATTTTAATCATCATCATATAATGTCAGGGATGTGTCAGTGTCAAGTTACAATTTAATGGATGACATATCCTAAAAATTATTTGTGTAGTGTGCTCAAATGTTTGGTTGCTTGTTTATTTTGTTTATTTTGTTGTTGAACGCCACTGAGGAACGTTTTATATATAAACTGCATGATGGCGGCCTAACTTGATCAGGTGATCCGGTTGTTGATATTGTGAGCACTGATCCACGCTGTCTGTGTATGAGGACATGCAATCAACCAAGTGATTCACTTTGAGTCTGACCTTCCACTGATAAATAATCTCTTATGACCAACATAGGTTGCCGGAGATGTGTTCTGACCTGGAAAGCCACAGGGCAATAGCTGGAATACTTGCACTTCAGTAGACAGTGGAATACAAGTCCGCAGTAAATATAATCTGATTCTGGTAAATAATGTTGCAAAACTATGAAAGAATAAAACATGTCACCAAGTTTTTAGATTTCATGGGATGCACTGTTTCAGGTTAATCATAGAGTATGTGTTACAGAAATAAATGTGATGACTGTAATTAAGTGAGATATTTAGATGACTGAATGATTCCTATTTTCCTGTCTTCATAGGTGTACTCCTCATCCAACAAATCTGCAGCTCTTTTGGATGTGGTACATGTTATGTAAATAGACTTTGAATGAAACCAACTGGTTATTTAAAATTTATCCAGGATTTCAAAGAAATGTCTAGATTGCCTCAACGAAAATAAGGGATTGTTCTATGCTCCATATGAGTTTAAAGAATTTAGATGTTGACTCTGTTCTATGTTCAGTGACACTACTGCTCGTAAATGTCGCTTACAGGTATTGTCTTGAAGGTGATACAATATTGATTGATGAAATGCATCTTTTCAGACCATGTCAATTAAAGAAAAACTGCCATCATTTCTGGATGATATTGAGAAGGACTTGGATCGTACAGTTAAATTCTGGCTGGAAAACTCTCACGATGATGAATTTGGGTTAGTATTTGCATCAGGAATGATGTAGATGATGTTGTACATGGTGTTGAGAGTCATGTTGTAGATGATGTTGTACATGTTGTTGAGAGTGATGATGTGGATGATGTTGTACATGATGTTGAGAGTCATGCTGTAGATGATGTTGTACATGATGTTTAGAGTGATAATGTGGATGATGTTGTACATGGTGTTGAGAGTGATGATGTGGATGATGTTGTACATGGTGTTGAGAGTCATGATGTAGATGATGTTGTACATGATGTTGGTCATGCTGTAGAGAGTGATGTTTTGTAGATGATGTTGTACATGGTGTTGAGAGTGATGATGTGGATGATGTTGTACATGGTGTTGAGAGTCATGCTGTAGATGATGTTGTACATGTTGTTTAGAGTGATAATGTGGATGATGTTGTACATGGTGTTGAGAGTGATGATGTGGATGATGTTGTACATGATGTTGAGAGTGATGATGTAGATGATGTTGTACATGATGTTTAGAGTCATGCTGTAGATGATGTTGTACATGATGTTTAGAGTGATAATGTGGATGATGTTGTACATGGTGTTGAGAGTCATGCTGTAGATGATGTTGTACATGATGTTTAGAGTGATAATGTGGATGATGTTGTACATGATGTTGAGAGTCATGCTGTAGATGATGTTGTACATGATATTTAGAGTGATAATGTGGATGATGTTGTACATGTTGTTGAGAGTGATGATGTGGATGATGTTGTACATGGTGTTGAGAGTCATGCTGGAGATGATGTTGTACATGATGTTTAGAGTGATAATGTGGATGATGTTGTACATGTTGTTGAGAGTGATGATGTGGATGATGTTGTACATGGTGTTGAGAGTCATGCTGTAGATGATGTTGTACATGATGTTTAGAGTGATAATGTGGATGATGTTGTACATGGTGTTGAGAGTGATGATGTGGATGATGTTGTACATGATGTTGAGAGTGATGATGTGGATGATGTTGTACATGGTGTTGAGAGTGATGATGTGGATGATGTTGTACATGGTGTTGAGAGTCATGCTGTAGATGATGTTGTACATGATGTTTAGAGTGATAATGTGGATGATGTTGTACATGGTGTTGAGAGTGATGATGTGGATGATGTTGTACATGGTGTTGAGAGTGATGATGTGGATGATGTTGTACATGGTGTTGAGAGTGATGATGTGGATGATGTTGTACATGGTGTTGAGAGTCATGCTGTAGATGATGTTGTACATGATGTTTAGAGTGATAATGTGGATGATGTTGTACATGGTGTTGAGAGTGATGATGTAGATGATGTTGTACATGGTGTTGAGAGTGATGATGTGGATGATGTTGTACATGGTGTTGAGAGTGATGATGTGGATGATGTTGTACATGGTGTTGAGAGTGATGATGTCAGGATGATGTACATGGTGTTGCGAGTCATGCTGTAGATGGTGTTGTGCATGTTATTGAGAGTGATGATGTAGATGATGTTGTACATGGTGTTGAGAGTCATGCTGTAGATGATGTTGTGCATGGTGTTGAGAGTGATGATGTGGACGATTTTGAGGGTAATGTAAATCTGTGATGATATTCTGAGTGACCATGAATTGAAGCTTTGTTCTTACTTCAGAGGCTTCTTCATCTGTCTCGGTCCGGATGGCCGTGTGTTTGATGAAACTAAATATACCTGGCTGGAGTGCAGACAGGTAATGCTAGGTGTTTTGTTCAGTAATATTGTGTAACACAACAAGCCATGACTTGTCATATTGCTTCATAGTTGAAACAAATGTGAGATGATGTCATCCAGTACAAATTGATTATATGAGATTTAAATGTTTTCTAAATGTTTTTTGCTTTGTTATCTCTGATCAAATGACAATGACTAGTATATAACTTCCCTGCTTGAAACTGAATCTTGAAACTGAATTGTCTGTTCCAAGTGGATATTTTCAAAGTATAATTACCAAGCCTTTTGCAAAGACCTACAGCAATCATTCTGAAAGGACAAAATCCATAATTTCTTCCAGCTCACTGGTATACTCCTAATATGTTATAGGGGTACACTGATTTTATGTAAATTAGGGGGCATGGATGGCACAGTGGTATTTTAGATACTCAGCATAAATTCCACTTTACTTGAGGCTTCATGAGTAAATTAGGCCACATGGATGTAAATAATCGAACTTGGACCAGACAATCCAGTGATCAACAGCATGAGATTCTCGGATGACATGTGTCAACCAAGTCAGCGAAACTGACCACCGATCCCTTAGTCACCTGAGGCTATCATGGGTTGCTGACCTATTCTACCCCAGATCTTCACGGGTGTGAGGCTTCATGAATCTTTAGTAAGTCACAATGTTGCAAAATCAGGGTTGCTGATGTCATTCAGTCTTTAGCCATGGAAAGGGCTGATGATAACTGCTATATAAATATCCCAGATTTCCCAGACTGTACACTCTTGTGTCTGTGAGAGGTATGCCCATATTTGGGTATGATAAATGCCTATAATCTGTATCACTATTTGCCTTTTTCTGGTATTAAGCTGACAATATTGCAGTGATATGACTGAAATACTGTCACTGGCATACTGTGGCATATACTGTATAGGGTCGGTCAAAAAGTACTCGGCCTAACAATATTCTCGATGTCCAATGTTTGAAATTTTAGCTCCCATTTTATTTTAAAGAAATCATTAGCAAAGCAATTTCCAAAATTTCACATATGTGGGTGATGTGGTTAGCGAGGTATTAGTCATCCCAACACATTGGGGTATAATATTTCTGAAAAAGTTGGAGAACATGAAAAACGATCTGTCATTTGGTACCTCTTGGATAATGGCATGCCCTCAGATAATAGCATATAAGATATGTTCATTATAGTCTGTATGAAATAAGGCCCATCCGACCACCCGAGACGGGCTAGATTTCTGACGGACGGTCTAAATTTACAATTAGCCAGCCCGATGGTCTGGTAAAATCTGAGTAAATTCACCATATCTTGGAGTCTGGTCTGGTTAAATCCATTTTGGGCTGGTAACATTTTGAAGTTATCAGTCCTGATGTCTGGCTGTGTTTTTTAACACTGGTATAGTATTGGAAAGAACCACTAAACTTTGTTTTGATTTACTCTTTTAACCATTACATATGAAAGATTTGTGGTTAGTCTTATCTGACACGGAACACCAAATTTATTCTTTAAAACTTGTGGTTAATTAATATCCGGCGATTAAAAGTGGCCAAAATTAAGCCTGCTTCCTCTGAAAGCCCGCCAAGCGAAACCACAGACGGAGTTCACGTAACTCTGTCTAGCCAGAGCACTGACAGTGGCGTCATATGAGGAGCGATTTTCAGTTAGTTGTATAGAAAATGTGTATGCGCTCATCATTTTGATGATTTCTCGACATCAACGGCGACATGCCGAATCGTTGCTTTGTCGTCAATTGCTCCTAGGGTCGAGGCGATGGTGTCCCCATGCACAGATTTCCACAGGACCCGCAGTTAGGTGCTAAATGGGTTATGTTTGTGAGTCGCGAAGGCTGGCGTTGTGGAAGCCTGAAGCGATATCTTACTTGTGTTCAGATCGCTTCCACGGAAGTTAAAGAATCAAAACTACTTACTAGTTGTAGTAAAATATGCATATGATTGATGACCATAAAGATTTTCTATGACACAACTTGTAACATAGCGATTTCTTCCTCGGAAGTGAGGTTGTGGTCGAGTAACAATAATATTGTAAGTAGTATTATATTGACACCCACCTCGCTGCCACGAGAGAAATTGTTATGATATACACTATGTCATGCAAAATCCTATTGGCCATCAATAAAATACATATTTTACTACCAGTAGAAAGTAGTTTTGATTTTTATAACTTCGGTGAAAACAAACCTAAATACCATTTATCCTCAGACTGGCGGATGTTCCCGACAGAAGCGCCGCCATTTTAAAAAATAAAAAATCTGTTAGAATTAATGAGATTATAGTTTGTTTTCATCAAGTTAGAAAATCAAGACTACTTTCTACTCGTTGTTAAATATGTATTGGAATCATAACCAAACGGATTTTGCATGACACAACTTATAACATAACGATTTCTTCCCGCGAGGCGAGGTGGGGTCGAAGTCACAATACTACTGCGATAAATTTCTTGCTACATTCCATGGTTAATGTCCACTCACCAGTATGTAGATACTAGTCAATGTGCGTCTTTATATTTGGTCTTATAATCCTAATTAGTTTATTATCACACTTGTATGCATTTTGAAACTAAATAAAAGCAGGCGATCTGCTGATACTTATAGTGAATTTATAACAGAACTGTAATATCTAGACATTTTATAGTTTGCCAATGTGAATCATAATTCGCACACACACACCCTAGTGCATGTTGTCTGTCTCATTACACTTCACGGTGAAAACAATGATTCTGTTGAATGCTACGACAAATGAATAAAAACAAAATGCAAATATTAAAATTAAAACAGATTAAAGTTATAGGAACAATATCAGGCCATTACCTTGTTCGAGGAATGTATCCATCAATATCCACAAAACTGTTCCAAATGATGTGTCTTTTAACAGTTTAATATACGAAAAAGTGATAAATCTTTTCAGGTATTGGTGTATAGTCTCATTGGTCACCCAAGATAGCACACCTGGCAACTAATTGCATAATGTCCGCCTTTCTTTAAAACAGTAATTTAGTTAGCCAATAATGGGCAATCAATCAATGTATTGCCGGTTAATCCTTTGAAAGAAGGGCGTTGTTTTACATGAACACCGACCACGACAGAGTGTATTCAGTATAGATTAGTAAATCTACATACATAAACACTACCTTTTGACAATTCCGGCTGTGTAAGATAAAAGTAATTAATCAATCAGCGTGTTATCGGTTAATCCTTTGATCGATGTTTATAATGTTGAATATTTACTCAGACACAAGAAATGCCAAATGGGAACCTTTGTCGGGTAATCTAAGTGTGTTACCACTAATTATACCTGTTATAAATTCATTAACTGACCATCAAGTGAATGATGACAAATAACATGTGTAGGTTTATACCACCTAACACGGGTTACAACGAGGGAGTATTAATTGCTGTATTGCATGTGAAAACTTATGGGCCGACACTGTTTTGAGAATACAAACAGATTTTTACATGACATGATTAAATATCGAGGTAAAACAACACAGAAATGGGATCAATTTGGATCAGTCATTATACAAATAGGGCCTAACGACACCAATCGATTTTGACAGAATCGTCTATGAAAACAAGTTGTAACTTCGGAAACTAGGCAAAGCAGGAGACAAAATTAAATGACAGTAGATTGTGAGAACATATAGCTTTCATTTTCCACAACAATTGTCACGATTTCAGGTTTATACAAGCCTGTAAACACGATAATTTACCCCTAAAATGTAGATGAATTCTGCATCGGCTCTCAAAGCTATTCCTCATATGGCGTCACAGAGCGCCCGCTCTGATTGGTTGAAAGTTTTACGTTTTCATTTATGGTGAGAATGATTGCACTGTTGTCAAAAGGTCGATTTAAGTCAATTAAAGGTCGAAATGAGTAGTTTTAATGGCCGGGGTTTCATTTATAACGATGCCAGTTAGTGATTTATGTATTTGTACCCCTAGGGTTTATGTGACAGATTTTGCTTTTTGGGAGTACCAAGATAAAAAGTCAAACAAAATGGGGATTGTTAGGCTGGAACATAGCAAAACCAATTTGCTCGAGGTTGACAGATAATGTGTAGAAAAATAAACATTAAAACAGCTGCATTTGTATCAATGTTTAGGTGACCCTCGTATCAACCTGAAAATGTACTTATTTTTAAACTGGTAATTACCTGATTGGTATCAATTCCCATAATGTGTAATTTATATCCCCCAAATCATCCCCATAATGTATATATATCCTCCCAAATAACACCAACCTAACATACATTCACTAATAAAAGTTTAGCTGAATTGACCGAAAGTCTACAGTAGTGCTAAAAGCAGTAAAATCATGTGGTACAGTGGGTTAATGCATGTGCAGGTATGGATGTATGCTCGGCTCTACAACGAAATGGAGAAGTATAGGAAACCACAGATTTTGCAAGCTGCAATAAAAGGTACATATTACCCAGTGACCTTCAGGTACATTACCATATATTACCATAGATACGCTGATCTCATAGTTGAGCCGACCCCCAAGTCTCCTCGGAAATAATGGTAAGCATTGTTGCCACTTCCTGTTTGGATTATGTCTTCTTTTCTGTAGATGCATAGTTTTTAGATAAGTGAACTTTATTTATTCTATCACATTTCAGTTAACAATTTCCGACTGAATATTCTTAAGATTCCACATGATACATTCCATGTCTACATCAGAGGTTTAACAGCTAGTCGAGGATGGGTGGTGGGTTAAAGTGTTTGCTCGTCATGCCAAAGGCTCAGGTTCGATTCCATTTTAACATGGGGTGTAAAGCCCCTTTCTTGTGTCATGATATTAATAAAATATTGCTGGATGCAGAGTAAAATCCAACTAACTAAAAGTCAGTTAAAATAGATAGGGTTCCCCCTGACCAGTGGACACATGGTCATGTTGTGCCAGAGACCATATATGGTCAAATATAGTCTCTGGCTGCACAGATATAATGATTATTTAAATCTCTGTAAAATCTTAAGTCATTGGGTGATAATCCAATTATGCATGCATTCCTGGAACTAAATGTCCAATTTCTTCACATCGTCTCCTTCCAGGGGCAGACTTCTTGCAGCAACATGTGAAGAACCCTGACACCATGAAGTGTTGCCTCAGTATGACCAGGGGTGGTCAGCCAATCAAAATACAGCGGACTATCTTCTCCGAGTGCTTCTATCTGATGGCAATGTCTGAACTGGCCCGAGCTACTGGGGAGGCTGTGTATAGGGTGAGTGTTGAAAACTGAGGCAACCTGACCTGTCTGAGTAAATTAAAACTTTATTTTATCACTATGGTTTATGCACAAATATTATTTCATATTTAGCTTTTAGTTACGATTTTGTATCAATATTATTTCTGATTAACAATCTCCCTAGCCAGTCCAAGTGTCAGAGGGGCTGTGTGGCATGGATGTGTGTGTGTCACAAGGATGAAGGATGGTATGGGGACTTGATGGCAAGGATGCAGGTTTGACAGTGTGTGGGGATTGGTAAGCAAGGAGAAAGCATTTTGACATGCACAGCATACAGAGATATCATATCATTCATCATATTTTAGAAAACTTCACATCTTAAATATATTTCATATGTCTTTTTTAACTTACTGACATGCAGTTTTTACAAAAACATGTGATCTTAAAAATTCTGACTCACACTTGTATTGCAGGAGGAAGCATTGGCAATGATGGACAAAATCTTGTTCTGGGTGCAGAAGGATGACTCACAGCTTGGGAAGACCCAGTTGCCTGGCAACAAACCATACGCCAGTCTCGCCAATCCCATGATGCTGTTATGCCTCATTGACCAGATGGAGACGATGGACCCAACCCTTGCAGCCACCTACAGGGACGCGCCACCTGGTGTCTCGGGGAGGTCAACAAACACATTCAGGTGAAATTTACAAAGGTTGTAAATTTTAATGGATAATTGATGCAAGACTGACATGCCCAACAAACTGACGACGTGTAACGTATGAATTTACCTTTAAGTGAGTAGCCCACTCAGCATTTTCTGATATATTTACATACGTATATTTATATATATTTTATAATTACACTTCATCTTCAGACCTTGTTTCTGTGGTTAGAGTTCTGACTAACATCCCAATTGTGTTGATCACTGGATTGTCTGGTCAAGACTTCATTATTTACAGACTTCCATCATATAACTGGAATGTTGCTGAGTAAACAAACAAACAAACAATATCATGGATGTTTACATTTTTGGTGAAACCCACAAACAGAAGTACAGTGTTGACAAGACTAGAAACATGAGGGTGAATGAGGCTTCCAACCCAAGACTGTAGGTTCCTGGCACACCACGTGGCACATCAGTCTAAGTAAACTTAGGCTCAGTATTATTCGTTACACTGCTGTACTGAGTCTAACATACAGTAGTAGAAGGTCGGGTCAGCTAACTTTTTGGACTGACCAATCTGAACACAGCTTACCAAATTGCGCAAGTTAACATTCGCACATACGGTTTGAACCTTTACCTAAAAAATTCGAACAATTCCGAATGCTATTTTCCGCACGATCGCTTCCAAGTGATACACAGGGAATGAGTAGACAGTCACTGAAAATACCATTCTTGTCAATATGCAAGGAGGTCATCTTGCGGAAATATAAGCTAGCTAATAGTAACCATGTCATTAGAAACCCCTATGCGTACATACTGCAGGCCAAATATCTGTGTTTTATGCGGATTTTCGTTCGTTGATAGATCAGTGTCAGCGACCAGGGAAGAGAAGAAAAAATCCAAAAACCGTTTTGTAAAGTCCGGCCGAACCCTAACAAGTAGTTGTTGTCTGATTGGTTAAATCCGTTCAGCCGTCTCGCGTTTGATTGGACACTCATAGGTCGCTCAAAGGTTAGCTGACGCGACCTTCTACTAGGGTTTGTTAGACTCTGAGTTTAGCAGTGTAACGAATAATACTTAGCCTAACTTTACTTAGACTGGGTGGCACTGAGGCACCTTAGTGAGCTGTATACATGAACCTTCCTTGAACCTTTGTTGAACGTTGTTTTCAGAGACGGTTCAAAGTCAACACAGAGTTTGTATTGGTCAAGAAATCCTGGAAAAGGGAAATAGCTCAAATAGATTTGGAAAACAACAGAAAATTATCACAAAGTCATATTAAGGCATAAGCAATAATATTTGAAAACAAATGATATTTTTCTTGTGATAAATCAATAATAGATAATAAATAAGCCTCAACCATTACCATTTTCATGTTTTTCTAAGTGAACATTTCCCAAAGTTTGTATTTTTCATATTTCTGTTGGTATCATATTATGGAAAACTCCTTATGGAAGCCATGGAACATGTGCCATACTTGGGCATCAACCCTTTGATCATATGGCCGTTTCAGAGAGAGGGCAGCGTTATCCTGGAGAACGTGTCTGTTGATGGAGAGGAGCTGACAGGCAGCAATGGCCGACTTATGGTGCCAGGTATATATGGGCGGTCACCTCACCAGCACAGACGGACAGAGTGGTCAGGGTCCATCAGAGAATTGGTCTTCACGAACCCATGCTTGTCGTAAGATGCGACTAACAGGATCTGATGGTCAGGCTCAGTGACTTGGTTGACACAATGCTCATACTGTTGATCACTGGATTGTCTGGTCCAGACTCGATTATTTACAGACCGCCGCCATATAGCTGGAATATTGCTGAGTGCAGCGTTAAACACCAAACAAACATCATTCCCATTCTTTGATAATCACTGGTATGTTTGGTCCAGACTTGATTATTTTCAGACTGCTGTCATATAGCTGAGATATTGTATAATATATAGAGTGTCATTAGACAAGAAACAACACTATATGTTTGGTCCAGTATTGTTGTCGTAATGTGGTTAGAATATCGATGGGGGCGATAGGGTAGAATAGTAGTTAAAGCATTTGCTTTTCATCCCGATGACCTGAGTTCGATTCCCCACATGGATACAATGTGTGAAACCCATTTCTGGTGACCCGTGTCGTAATGTTGCTGGAATATTGCTAGGTTCCCACAGTCACACGAAAAATTTTGAAAACCATAATTAACCCAAGCGTGAAACCTAGAATAGGTCCTCCGGATTATGGTTGCCTTAATTCTGTGGTTCCCACAGTCACATACAGAAAATAAAATGAAAAATTTTGAACCCTAAGTCATAGGTATCCCTATTGGTATGCTTACTCTCTTAACCCCAAGAGTTACCTCCCCTTGACATGATGTCATCCTATTGTCTGTTTGAAAACCTCACAATTTTTCTGTATGCACTACAGTCAACACGTACAGAAGTGAAGTGAAAATTTACACAGCCTTCTGCACTAAATTCATCGTAGTAGGTTAGTGGTGTCGACATTTGGTCTGACGGACAATCGTATTTATATTATTTCATGTTTTATTTTGCTTTATTTTCCCGCCCTTTTTTTCCTTAGTTTTTCAGGAAGATATGGCAAAAAACAAGTGTGTCCAATGCCAAAAGTCGTAATGTTGCTGGAATATTGCTGGACGCCACGTAAAACCATACTCACTCACTAAAAACAGAGACCATATGGTCTCTGCTAAAAATATTTTGGACCATAATATTTCACAACATTTACTCTCACTCAATGATCTAGGTCATGCGATTGAAGCTGGTTGGTTCCTCCTTCAACGGGCACTAAAATCAGGGGACACAACTCTCCAGAAAACAGCCATTGACAAGTTTATCGTCAACCCGTTCCAGACAGGCTGGGATGAGTTGTACGGAGGACTGTTCTACTTCCTGGATGTTGACGGCCTGTCTCCCACCCAGCTGGAGTGGGACATGAAACTATGGTGGCCTCACAATGAGGCTATGATAGCCTTCCTCATGGCTTACAAGGCTACGAAGGACGAAGAACATCTGCACAAGTTTCAGAGAGTCTTCAAGTACAGCTACTCACATGTAAGTCATGGTCACATTCACAAAACAATCTTAGCACTAAGCTGCTTAACATGGCGCTATTATTGCATTGCGGAATAGCCCCTAAGAGCCCTTGCTTGCATCCGATTTGAACAATATCAGGAATTTAACTAGACCTGCTCAGGTGGGTATGCCAAATATTGTCTACAGTAAATATAATTAAAATTCACTAATTGGAATTACAATTTTTTCTAATTCATGTTAATATAGATGAATAATACTTAAATTGTCAATTAGTTTGGGGGCTCTGCAGAGATTACCTGTTTTTGACTGATAACAGCTTGGTTGGTTGGTTGGTTGTTTAATGCCAGACTCAGCAATATTCCAGCTATATGGTGGCGGTCTTTAAATAATCGAGTCTGGACCACACAATCCAGTGATCAACAGCATAAGCATCAATCTCCTCAATTGGGATACCATTAGTCACATCTTACGACAAGTATGGGTTGCTGAAGACCAATTACAGGATCAATGAACAGGAAGGGTTTTTTGTGGTAACTTGAAGAGCTTATTTTGCAGTATTCAAACACAACTAGTCAGAAAATGCTGTTTTAAGGGCGAAGATGTTCTTAATATTTTCCTCCAACATAACAGTTTTAATGCAGATTTTTTATATTTTTATCATTGATCATTACGTTGAATAACTGTCATAGTACAAAGTTACAATACCTCTGAATTTTAGAAAGTGGCAACTTTTTAAAAATCAAAATTTGAACAACGTAACATTTTATTTTGTTTTGAAATTGTAATTGCAGTTGTAATTGTAATCCAGTACTCGTGGTCTGTTGTTGTTTTTTTTATCTGGTATTGTTCAATCAGCATCTTGAAGTCCCATTCCAAGTTTTAACTTCCAGATTATTTTTTCAGAGATCATTGACTTTAATCACAACATTGTTGAATTCTACATTTATTTCATCTGATTACAGTTTGTTGATCATGGCTACGGAGACTGGTTTGGCTACCTGAACAGACGAGGGGAGGTAAAGCTGAACTTCAAAGGAGGACCGTGGAAGGGTAAGTTAGCATCTGTGTCAAAGGTGCGTTCATGTTTATACATAAAGAAATCTGAGGTACCTATCAGCAGCTAGAGAATGACTTTCCTGGTGATTGCTTTTCTGTGTATTCAGGCATTATGTGACATGCACAAACCATATGTTATAACTCAAATGTTTACCAGCTTGGAGAAAATCACAAGCATAAGTATGGGGCTTACAAACCTAGAAACAAGAAGGGATTTACAGGACGCGAATTCCAGCGTCCTATACCCATAAAAATTTACAATGGATGCAACTTTGTTAGAGCATCCACAGGGACGCAGAAAAAGTCTAAATATATTTTGTAAAAAATTCGATCAAGATCACTGAGTCTGCTTCTAACCGGGGCCCCGTTTCACAAAGCTGTCGTAACTTTTCTCGTAGCATTCGTACCTCCTATGTTACAGTATAGGAGATTCGAATGCTACGAGAAAAGTTACGAGATCTTAGGCTTACGAGAGCTTTGTGAAACGAGGCCCGGGTTATGGTATCATTTGTAATTTAATTACTGTAACAATGTGATGATCATGATACACAATACAATAACAGTAGCTGAATTACAACAATATTACAACATGGTATTAATGATAATATTTAAGTGTCTGGAACCCCCATTTTGAAGTCCAGGATCCCAGAAAATTAGGAGTATTAGTCCCAGGGACTCTCAAATACACGACTCAAGATAAAATCCCTGTCTAAGAGATGCAACTCTGTACAGCAAATTGCTGCCTAGCACAACTGGTCCTCAGCAGATTGTTGTCTGTTTTCAGGCTTCTTCCATGTCCCCAGATGTCAACTGATGTGCATACAGCTCTTGAAGGACATCATAACATCTGAGAAGTAGCCTTGCACTTTTTTAACAATATTTTTAGCCTCACTTTTCCAGCACTCCAGGAAAAGGCAGTAATGTGATCATTTGAAGAAATGAATCAGAACATTCAACTTTGATCATAGATACCTCAAGATATTATGATGATTAGCACCGATTGTTTCTGTTTAAGATATACGTCAATCTTATACTGTGACTTGTATCTCACACTTGGCCAACAAAGTGTGCCAACTCAACCTTACTTGCATGAAATTTGGGGCACTGACTTTTCAAATGCATATATCCCTCAATCCTGCAGCCCAGATGCATCCCTGCTGTCATGTTTTCATTGATTGCCACGATTTTGACTGGTGTCATATCATTACACATAATGAGGAGGCTTAAAGTTTTAAGTGAATTTATTACCAACATCGAAGCCATTTTTTATCATATGCAACATTGAATCTACAAGTTTAATAAATCTAATCATTAAAAAACACCAGTACTTGTTTATGTCTCTCAGGACTCACAATCTAAATTATGTGTCCTCATTCCTAATTTGTATGTGTATAGAATTCAGTATCTTGCATCTGGTAAAGACTCTTTGTGCCGCCTAACACGGTATGCTACACTGAACTCAGGGAGAGGTGAGGTGAGATGAGATGAAATTGGGTTTAACATCGTACTTGAGAATATTTCGCTCATATGACGACGTGCATGCGTGTGTATGTGTATGTGCGGCTGCTTGTACTAGCCCAGACTTAAGCTGGTTTTATAGTGCTAGCCCACTGAGATACCATGCCGCAGTGAATCACGAATACCCCACTCAGACACATTATACTGACTCCGAGCCGACCAGTCCTTGTTGTACCCATTAATGCCGAGCGCCAGGCAGGGACCAAGAAGTACCATATTTGAAAGTCTTTTGTTATGACGCGGTCGGGGATCAAACCCGCGACCTTCCGCTCTCTAACCACTACACCACAGAGGCGGTCCGAACTCAGGGAGAGATGCTCATTCAACCAATTAAAGTTACAGAAGTCTGTGAGTTGGGTTTTAAGACGCATCTAGCAATATTCAAGCAGTATCATCAGAAATGGGCTTCACACATTGTCCCCATGTGTGGAATCGAACCTGGGCCTTCGGTGTGACGAAGGAATGCCTTAACTACTTGGCTACCCCACTGCCCCAGTTACAGAAGCGTCATTAGGACAATCCAATCATGGACTTTCACACAACATGGAATTTCCACAAAGCACCAACACACACTTTCTGTAGATAAAGTGATTTTATTGCTTAGCATACCTAATTCACCATTATAAATGCAATATTCATAATAAACTATCAACAAACACCACAGAAAGCATAAATGGGTATTAATTAACTCAAAAACAAGAGCAACCTTTTGGGCTAGTAGTATTTTCTTTTTTCAGCTCTGCAAAAGATTACTAGTCCTTAATTAACCAGAGATGACATCTCCGCTTGGTCTGTGCAATGCCTATATGGCTTCTTATACCAAACTTTAGGTTCACTGCCATTTAATACCTTCAGGTCGGTGAAGAAACATTAATACTGTTCAGTAATTTCAACATCAAAATCATCGTAAAGTACCACATCACCATTGAATTTACTGTACAGCACGTTTCATCAAGTAATATACAGTGGTTTTGGAGATATGCTCCAAACACTAGCACAATGCTCATTTTCAGTAAAATCTAACTTAATGTCACAAAAACAAAAAAACAAAGGGTAAAAAAGAATTTTTTACCCACATTAGTTTCTACCAATGGTTTTCACACCATAAGCTCCTATGCCCCTTCTGAACACCTGCAAGAAATAATCATCCAAAAGATTGATGTTTCTGAACTTGTGAAAATAAAATAAAAATATACATTAAAAATTGAAAACATTATATATATCTTGGATAGGTTACATTCTGGCATAAACCTGTCACCATGGTGATGACCAGTGTTCAACTGGATGACATGTTAAGCGAATAAATACGATACATTACAACTAGTGAAAAGGACACTTGGGATGATAACCATTATTAACTTACAGGAACATGACAGCACACAATCTCGTCTCTATTGACTGGTAAGAATAACGAAGAAGAGTAACAAAAACCCAAATTCCCATGAAATAAAGCCAACTTTCAAAGTCAAATCTTTAGTCATTAATATCAATAACGAAAATATAAATAAGGCCAGACCAATTTTATTTCTTGATTTACGGATCCACCTGTCATATTTTTTCAAGAATAAGAAAAAATATATAAATTAATTTTCGCCACTCAAAAAATAAAATCCTAATGTTTATATTGGCCTGAAATGTAAACTTACAAGAAAAACTTTTTTTAGGCCGTTTTTTTTGCCCCATATACACTTCATAAATTGCCAAAAGTAAAATACATTGAGTATTTAGAAGGAATATTACTTTGACTGGTGATTTTTTTTTTTTTTCCCTCCTGCCCTTAGGTTTTTGAGGACAAAAATCCGTAAAACAAGAAGAAAAAAATGGTCTGGCCTAATGAACATTTGTTGCAAGTAGCCCGATACTAAAGTAGATAAGAGTGAACAAGCCATCAATGGCAATTAACACTGTTGTGCAGAAATGGAATTCCGCTGTGCTGTCTTCAGATTGTGTGTTATGTGTTAAGTCTCCAGCCGTTGTTGATAATTCTGTTGCCATCAAGCTGTTTTTCTATTGCAACCTCATATGTATAACAGCTTGCACCAAGTGCATGTTAATATTTTGTTGTTCAGAGAACACAGACTTCAGTTTGAAAAGTGTTCAGTAACTGAATTGGAACAGTCACTGTTGACTACACAAATGGTGATTTACTGACTTACTATTCATATTATGAAGGAAGATAAAATTTTAATTTTGTCAGACCCAGAACGATCCTGTTATTATGATGTTCTATATCATCAAGTGTGAGTGAGTGAGGCTTAACGCCGCCTTTAGCAATATCACGGCAGGGGACACCAGAATGGGCTTCACACAGTGTACATATGTGGGGAAATCGAACCCAGGTCTTCAGCGTGACGAGCCAACGCTTTAACCACTAGGCTACCCCTAAATCATCAAGACCTACATGTAACTTTATATTGAGCAGCAGGTGCAACCTGATGTTGTCTTGTGCAACAGTGTCATTACCTGAGGTTGCACTGGGTGTAAGTAGGTTTCATTTCCTTAAGTCAAGACTTGCTGTTTTGTCAATGTACGGCCCTGTATCTCCAGAGGGGATCTCCTACACTGATCTAACATTAATCTCTTATTTTGTAGTTTCAGGTTGATCCAGTTCTAAATGCATAAAATAAGCCCTCACAGCAAATGCAAACTACAAGCATATTTCCACATTTCTTTATGTGGCATTTAACTGACAGTGTGGAGTTTGAATCCTGCAAGGGACTAAGCCAAACAAAGGTACTACAATCTGTTCTGTAAGCCCAAATATAAAGAATGTCATATTTGATGGTTGCCTGCAAATAACTGAGTGTGAACTTGACAGTCTAGTGGTTGATATGGTGAGCAAACAATCCCTTGATCCATACAGTGAGTGAGTGAGTTAGTATGGTTTTACACGTTTTTAGCAATATTCCAGCAATATCATGGCGGGGGACACCACAAATGGGGTTCACAAATTGTACCCATGTGGGGAATCGAACCCGGGCCTTCAGCGTGACGAGCGAACGCTTTAACCACTAGGCTACCCCACCACCCCTATGTGGCATTTAAAAGCTGGTATGATGAAGAGGAACACTTTTTATGGATAGATAACTTCTTTATTGTAATAGATGTAACATTTCAGTGTACAGTCCGTTTGAGTCAGAAACGGACCGATGAATTGCAAATTGTATCATTGTACAAAATTGCCACATAAATATAAATAGTACACATGTTTATCATTTACTAATACCCAACAGATTTCTTATATTTGAAAATTTTCTGGACTCCACCAAAAAAGTTCTATAAGAAACTATCATTAAAATTTTGACACAGTTCACTATTTGTTACGAGGGAGGAGTGCAGAGAAAGGGACAGCCAGGTGTGCGAGAAAGGATGGAGACGGCACAGCACAGGTTAATGTATCAATAACTTTGTCGGCACTTGTGCACGTGCTTCTCTAACACCTGGTTGTCCCTTTCTCTGCACTCCTCCCTTGTAGCAAATAGTGAACTGTGTCACAATTTTAATGATAATTTGTTAAACAACTTTTTTAATTTTAGGACAAAAATTCTGCAAACAAATCACAGAGTTGGTCTGATGTTTTGATTATGATCAGCGTTTCATTGAGTATTACATGTTTATTAGTTTTAGAGTTAGATTGCGATTCATCGGTCTGCTTTTGAGCCAAACGGACTATAGATTGTAACACTGTTATTTGCATGATAACGGTGTTAGGATCTGCACTGAAACGTCGCATCTATTGCAATAGAGTTGTCTATCCATAAAAAGTGTTCCTCTTCATATTTCCAAATACATCTATCTGTAATCAGCCTCTGGAATTAACCAGTTAAATGTTAAGCAGCATTATAGAAGTAGGCCAGTTAATAAGACATATGATTTAATGGATAACATCTAGTTCATTGCATTTCAAGCTATCACTTGTAGCTTGATAACAGGGTGAGAATGTACATGGAAGCGTCGCTCTATGTCATATGCTTTGTTATTAACCAGCTAAAAGTGCATGATAACAAAGTCTACTGTAAACAATGGCAGATGAAAAACCCAGACAGGTAAACTGTAGTCTTTATTGTGTTGTATACATGTACACAATAAACATGATAAACTTCGGGCATATTCGAGAAGCAACGTCACTTGGTGTCACAATATGGCCTCCTCCCAAACTGACACATATCACACAAAATTTGGGCCATTTCTGACGACCCTCTCCAGTTTGTGTATGGCCAGACGACCCTCTCCAGTTTGTTCATTGCTTGAAACCAGCCTGTTAACTCTCACAAACTAATTTACATTGATTCTTTTACCGTCATGCCACTGAATTTTCAAGTTTGTTTTGTTATCATGGTATCATTACACCAGCCCAAGTTCTTACCAAGTCTTGTTAACAAGAACATGTAGATATTTCTCCCCCGAATCAACAGAGAAATATAACATGAATTATACACTGGGTAGGCGACGTGTATAGTATTACTATTTGCAAATTCTCAAAGCATTGCTCTATTGGTCTGTCTTGATGCCCCCCCCCGATCCTCAAAAATGTTTCATTCAAGTATCTGCCATGAAAGCATCAGTACTTACGATTATTGTTCAAGCAACATAACATAGCACTGAAGAACAGTGTACACAAGGTGCATTGGTCAGAAAATGTGCAATAAATATTGGATTAGCTTGTACAAGCAAATATGCTGCGATAAAACGTAATGCATCATGTTTTTTTAACCGTAGATTTTTACCAACACCATAATAAAGTGACCTACACAATATTCATCAAAACTGACATGCATAAGATGTTTTTCTTTTTTAATATACTTCCTGTTCACAACAGCCTCGGTGAAGGAGTAAACATCTTACAAACACATTTTTCAAGAAAACCATCTTCTTTGGACATAACAAATTTAGTTTCCACTTTTAACCAGTCAGACATGTTTGTACAGCTGTGGATCACTTGTGAGGTCAAGGTCACGACATTGACATTGAGTGAGAAGGTGATTGCTGTGCCAAGATGGCCATCTCAGGCAGACTACACAGTTTCTGCATCTATCTGGTTTGGAATATTATTTTCTCCGGCTGATTCCATGTTCTGAAGAACCAGGTATCCAACAGCAACCAGAATCAAGACAACCAACACAATTATCCACCTTGGGAACCCCTTGGACTTTGGTTTTCTGTAAACAAAAATTTAGGTGATGTTCAACTTCAAATTTTCAAGTAACTAACTTGCAATTGACATGATTAATATAAAACTTTACTTGTGAGAAGATGTGTTGAATGTTTAAAGTTTTCCACAATTATAATGTTTCTGCCACTAATTGAATATAAAAATATCATATATTTGGGTTATTGTGGAATCTATTCTAATGGAAACCACATTCACCAATCTGTCAAATGGGAATTGCACAACACAGAAATACACAAAAAACTTATCCATAATATTTTGTCATGGAAGTATAATCATGGTGGGCAAGCAATATTGTCTAAGGCGCCAGGTTAGTGATCCAGCGAGCCTTAGGTGCCAGGATCGAGCCCACCTGTCACCAAGCGTAAAAACCTTGGAATCAACTTTATGTGCAGACTCTTTCAGTGTTGTCACAACCCCTAGTGTACGGTACACAAACTTGTGCACATAAAAGAACCCGCGAATCTGTTGGTATATGACCAAATGGTGGCCACATGAATACGTGCAGACACTTAGTTGCAGGTACATCAACGTGCAGTGAACTTGGACAAAGTACTGTGACTATGTGTCCCAGTCGACCCAGCTCTGAATGGGTACCTCGTAAGGATGGGAAAGCCACATTAACTCAGTGCACATAGTGGCTGCAAGAGTTGTATGATCCCCCGCGAGTTGAGATTGATAATACGATGTGCCGTTGAGATTGACATCCAGTGATCAAGGAAAAGAAATACTAGTGCCTTGAGCATGTACTAGTTGCGTGGATATGTGTGCTATATAAATATCCTATAATGATAAATAGCAGTGTCTGTTATATATGCATATAGTTAACTTAAATCGAAATTTTACTTGCAATTTCAGGTTGTTCAGGAGTAAGTGAGTTTAGTTTTATGCAGCACACAGCAATATTCCAGCTATATAAATTATGAAGTCTGGACCAGACAATCCAGTGATCAACAACATGAGCATCGATCTACGCAATTGGGATACGATGACATGTGTCAACCAAGTCAGCTAGCCTGCCCAAGCTATCCTGTTAGTCGCCTCTTACGACAAGCATGGGTTGCGGAAGACCAGTTCTAACCTGGATCTTCATGGGTAGTTTGTTCAGGAGGTTAAACATAAACTGTATTCACAACTGTTGTCTTGAAATAGTCAAAAATAGTTTGTTCCCATAGACCAAGTGATATCGGTGATTTAAAGGTAACATACGTTGTCGGTGGCGGTGCAGCACGAGTTTGACGTGAGGCTGCAGTAGTAACTGGCTCCTCGAAGTGTACAGGTTTTCCCCTTGGTGGCGTAGCCGGCATAGCCGGCATAGCAGGCAGTCTCCGCCGTGGTTCATTTCTTGTTGATCTACTGGCAAAAAATTAAAAGATAAAGAAAACTTTCCGAAAAATGGAAAGTACTGAAATGACCATGTTTATCTGATGAGGTGTGAATTTCCATCAACAATCAAACAACCAGTTCATTTGGCCTGAATGCCTGATACATTATGGTCCAGCGCCTCAACGCAGAACTATGTATTCAGGAGCGTCCTTACGAACGTATGTCCTGCTTCTTGTAAATGCAATATCTCATGAGCTGTTGTATGACAGCCTACATTGGGGGATTATGCAGACACCAGTATATTTGGATGACCTTGTCCTTATTTTCAAGTCACCACGACACTCTGACCACGATAGCTGTTCATATTTCTAATGGTTTCTGAAGCTGACTACCATGGAGTTATGAGCACGATGTCATTTAACAGAGACAGTGACAAATTTTCATTACTGACATTTGTGTCTTCCTTGTGAAGACTTTCATTACATCCATGCTGAAGAAACAACAAGAACGTGCAAGGACCTATACCAGTCCCCTACAAGAGTCGCATAAATTACTAATATTTTGAGCTGAATGTGTGCACACAATCCTGAAGTACCCATGGTTGGAATACATCAACAGCATGACAAATTGTAGACAAAACAGGGATTAGAGAAGTAGTATGGTAAATACAGCTTAGAGCCACAGAGTGTGTTCAAAGGTTGCAGTTGCTCAAGTCACACATAAATGTTAAACAGCTGACACGCACTTGGTGCAAAAATACAATATACCAGGTTAATATTTCAAAAACAGGTTGCACTGGTGCAGGTGTTATATAAAAGGAAATTCATGCAAGTTAATCTCAAGAGTTTGCAGGAATGTATGAAGAATTATGAAATATTGATTGCAAAAATAAGAAGAATTGAACACAGAATTTTCCTTTTTTCTGCCATCAAGTTTTGCAGGGACTGATGTCGTGCGAGAACATTGAAATTTGTGCTGCCACTAAACTGGGTCCGAGAAACATGAAAAAAGTACAACAGCACTCTACATTTATTAAAATGTCAACAAGGGCAGGAAGGAAATCGATTTTGATATATTTTTGGTCTAAATTTGTATCACAAGAACAAACGCACCATAGATCAACCAAATCAGTCTTACAATTCTCGAGAATATGTTTACACTACAAAAATATGATTTGAAAGGATTTAAGAGTAATGACAAACACTTAGGTCAAAAGTTTACTAGAAATGGAACACAATGGTTGATTACCACAGACATTACAGTTACCCAAACAGTGATATGTTTCAAGCCAAACAGTATTCCTACATAATAGGGGTGGGTATTGCAGATAATTTCATATTGCGATATATTGCGATGCAAAAGCATGTATTGCGATATGTATTGCAATATATTGCATGAAGTATTTTTAAACAAAAAACTACTTATAATCAAGTTAATTCTTGATTTATAGAGCAAAAACACAACAAAATCACTAGGCTTGATTAAGCTTTAATAACAACTTTTAATCATGATAAAATAAAAATGTGAATAATATTTGGCACAAATGAAACAAGGACATATCCGAAGACTTCGGAGTGTTACGAAGTTTTCCGAATGCAAGTCAAAATACTGGTTTTCGATCAGCGTATCGCAATACGTATCGTTTTCAAACCTGAACCGGTAAGTACCGGTTATATTGCGCAGCCCTACTACATAAGGTATATAAACTAAACAATGGAATTTAACACAAATTGTCTCAGGTGGGCAAATTTGGAACAAATACATGTAATTGATATTTCAATCAAACTTAGGATCTGAACACTAAATTCAATGCAATAATACACACCCTCATCATAAGAACCATTACAGGTACAGGTATTCAACACAAGTCATCTGTTTTAGATTTTTACGAACTCACCAGTGTGTATGTGCATTTGTGTGTGTGTTGTGCGTATGTGGAAAATGAACCCAGGTTTTCCGTGGGCTGAGTGAATGCTTTAACCTGTGGGATACCCTCCCCATCAAGCTACATGACAACACAAACTGTAAGTAATTGCAAACGGACCAAACAATCCAGTGATTATATTAAGAACACTGATCAACACAGTCTGTGCACAACTTTACACACTAAGCCATGTCAATGTGTCGGACTTCGCCTGGATATGTAATCAGTGTAACCTAGACATAAAGTCAGTATCACCTTGTTATCAGTAACCTGAATATATAGTCAGTATCACCTGGATCTGTGATCAGTATCACCTAAACATGTAAATTGTAATCAGCATAACCTAGACATATAGTCAGTATCACCTTGTTATCAGTATCACCTGGATATATAGTCAGTATCACCTGGATCTGTGATCAGTATCACCTAAACATGTAAATTGTAATCAGCATAACCTAGACATGTATCACCTTGTTATCAGTAACCTGAATATATAGTCAGTATCACCTGGATCTGTGATCAGTATCACCTAAACATGTAAATTGTAATCAGCATAACCTAGACATATAGTCAGTATCACCTTGTTATCAGTATCACCTGGATATATAGTCAGTATCACCTGGATCTGTGATCAGTATCACCTAAACATGTAAATTGTAATCAGCATAACCTAGACATATAGTCAGTATCACCTTGTTATCTGTGTCAACTGTATATGTAATCAGCATCAGCTGGTTATGTAATCAATATCGGCTGAATATGTAATCAATATCACCTTAATATGTACTCAATATCACCTGAAAATCCAATCAGTATCACCTGGTTATGTAATCAGTATAACCTACACATAATGTCAGCATCATCTTGTTATCAGTAACCTGGATATATACTCAGTTTCAACTGGACATGTAATCAATATCACCTGAACATGTAATCAGTATTACCTAGACGTATTGTCAGTATTACCTTGTTATCAGTATCACCTGAATATGTAATCAGTATCACCTAGACATATTGTCAGTATCACCTTGTTATCAGTATCACCTGGATATGCAATCAGTATTACCTAGACATATTGTCAGTATTACCTTGTTATCAGTATCACCTGAATATGTAATCAGTATCACCTAGACAAACTGTCAGTATCACCTTGTTATCAGTACCACCTGAATATGTAATCAGTATCACCTGATTATGTAATCAGTATCACCTGATTATGTAATCAGTATCACCTAGACATATTGTCAGTATCACCTGGATATGTAATCAGTATTACCTGGATATGTAATCAGTATTACCTGGATATGTAATCAGTATAACATAGACATATAATGTCAGTAACCTGGATATATGGTCAGTATCAACTGGACTTGTAATCAGTATCACCTGAATATGTAATCAGTATCACCTAGACATATTGTCAGTATCACCTTGTTATCAGTATCACCTTCACATGTAATCAGTATCACCTGGATATGTAATCAATATCAACTGGATATGTAATCAGTATCACCTGCATATGTAATCAATATTACCTGAATATATAATCAGTATCACCTGAATATGTAATCAATATAACCTGGATATATAATCAGTATCACCTGAATATGTAGTCAATATCACCTGAATATGTAATCCGTATAACTTGAATATGTAATCAGTATCACCTGGGTATGTGGTCAGTATTACCTGGATATGTAATCAGTATCACATATACTGTGACACCTGGATATGTAATCCTACTTAATCATGACACCTAGATATGAAATCCTGTTTAACTTTCACACCTGGTTTTGTAATCAATATCACATGGATATGTAATCAGTATCACCTGAATATGTAATCAGTATCACCAGGTTATGTAATCAATATCACCTGGATATGTAATCAGTATCACCTGCATATGTAATCAGTATCACCTGAATATGTAATCACTATCACCTGGTTATGTAATCAATATCAGCTGGATATGTATTCAATATCACCTGTATATGTAATCAGTATCACCTAGACATATTGTCAGTATCACCTTGTTATCAGTATCACCTTCACATGTAATCAGTATCACCTGGATATGTAATCAATATAACCTGGATATATAATCAGTATCACCTGAATATGTAGTCAATATCACCTGAATATGTAATCCGTATAACTTGAATATGTAATCAGTATCACCTGGGTACATAGTCAGTATCACCTGGGTATGTGGTCAGTATTACCTGGATATGTAATCAGTATCACCTGAATATGTAATCAGTATCACCTGGTTATGTAATCAATATCACCTGGATATGTATTCAATATCACCTGTATATGTAATCACAACCACCTGGATATGTAACCATTATCACCTGCATATGTTATCACTATCACTTGAATATGTAATCAATATCACCTGGATATGCAATCAGTATAACCTAGACATAATGTCAGTATCACCTTGTTATCAGAATCACCTGAATATGTAAACGGTATCACCTGGTTATGTAATCAATATCAGCTGGATATGTTATCAATATCACCTGAACATGTAGTCAATATCACCTGAATATGTAGTCAATATCACCTGAATATTTAATCGGTATCACCTGAATATGTAATCAGTATCACCTGGGTATGTAGCCAGTATCACCTGGATATGTAATCAGTATCACCTGGCCATGTAGTCAGTATTACCTGGATGTGTAATCAGTATCACCTGGATATGTAATCAATATAACCTAGGTGTGTAATCAATATCACCTGGATATGTAATCAATATAACCTAGGTGTGTAATCAATATCACCTGGATATGTAATCAACATCAGCTGGATATGTAATCAATATCACCTGCATATGTAATCACTATCACCTGGATATGTAATCATCACACCTGGATATGTAATCAGTATAAACTAGACATAATGTCAGTATCATTGTGTTATCAGTAACCTGCATATATAGTCAGTATCACCTGGATATGTGATCAGTATCACCTAAACATGTAATTTGTAATCAGCATAACCTAGACATATTGTCAGTATCACCTTGTTATCAGTATCACCTGAATATGTAAACAGTATCACCTGGTTATGTAATCAATATCAGCTGGATATATAATCATTATAACCTAGACATACTGTCAGTATCACCTGGCTATGTAGTCAGTATTACCTGGATATGTAATCAGTATCACCTGGATATGTAATCAATGTCACCTGGATATGTAGTCAGTATCACCTGGATATGTAATCAGTATCACATATACTGTGACACCTGGAATCCTGTTTAACCTTCACACCTAGATACGTAATCCTGCTTAACCTTCACACCTAGATACGTAATCCTGTTTAGGCTAGGCACCTAGATATGTTATCCTGTTTAACCTCGACACCTACATATGTAATCCTGTTTAACCTCGACACCTACATATGTAATCCTGTTTAACCTCGACAGCTAGATATGCAATCCTGTTTAACCTCGACACCTAGATATGTAATCCTGTTTAACCTCGACACCTAGATATGTAACCCTATTTAACCTAGACACCTAGATATGTAATCCTGCTTAACCTACACACTTAGATATATAATCCTGTTTAAGCTAGGCACCTAGATATGCAATCCTGTTTAACCTAGACACCTAGATATGTAATCCTGCTTAACCTTCAACCTTCACACCTAGATATGTAATATAATCCTGTTAGCTAGGCACCTAGATATGACAATAGTAATCCTGTTTAAGCTAGATATGTTTAACCTCTACACCTAGATATGTAATCCCTAGATATGTTTAATCCTAGATATGCAATCCTGTTTAACCTCGACACCTAGATAAATAATCCTGTTTCAACCTAGACACCTAGATATACATATGTATCCTGTTTAACCTCGACACCTAGATATGTAATCCTGCAGCCAGAGATGTATCCTTCAACCTCCTGTTTAACCTAGACACCTAGTAATCTATTTAACCTTCACACTTAGATATATAATCCTGCTTTAATCCTGCTTAACGCTCACACCTCCAGATATGTAATCCTGTTTAACCTAGACACCTAGATATGTAATCCTGTTTAACCTCGACACCTAGATATGTAATCCTGTTTAACCTCGACACCTAGATATGTAATCCTGTTTTAACCTCGACACCTAGATATGCAATCCTGTTTAACCTCGACACCTTGATACGCAATCCTGTTCAACCTGCACACCTAGATGTCATCCTGTTTAACCTCGACACCTTGATATGTAATCCTGTTTAACCTAGACACCTAGATATGTAATCCTGTTTAACCTCGACACCTAGAAATGCAATCATGTTTAATCCTGTTTAACCTCGACACCTAGATACTCTGTGTAATCCTGATTTAACCTACGACACTCTAGATATGTAATCCTGTTTTAACCTTTGACACCTATAGAGATGTAATCCTGTTTTAACCTAGACACCTAGATATGTAATCAATAACCTGCTTAACTCCCTTCACACCTAGATAAACGAATGCTGTTTCTAAGCTAGGCACCTAGATATGTTATCCTGTTTAACCTCGACACCCCTACATATGTAATCCTGTTTAACCTCGACAGCTAGATATGCAATCCTGTTTAACCTCGACACCTAGATATGTAATCCTGTTTAACCTCGACACCTAGATATGTAACCCTATTTAACCTAGACACCTAGATATGTAATCCTGCTTAACCTTCACACTTAGATATATAATCCTGTTTAAGCTAGGCACCTAGATATGCAATCCTGTTTAACCTAGACACCTAGATATGTAATCCTGCTTAACCTTCACACCTAGATATGTAATCCTGTTTAACCTAGACACCTAGATATGTAATCCTGTTTAACCTCGACACCTAGATATGTAATCCTGTTTAACCTCGACACCTAGATATGTAATCCTGTTTTAACCTCTATTCAACCTGCACACCTAGATGTCATCCTGTTTAACCTCGACACCTTGATATGTAATCCTGTTTAACCTAGACACCTAGATATGTAATCCTGTTTAACCTCGACACCTAGAAATGCAATCATGTTTAACTTTCACACCTAGATATGTAATCCTGTTTAACCTCGACACCTAGATATGTAATCCTGTTTAACCTCGACACCTAGATATGTAATCCTGTTTAACCTCGACACCTAGATATGCAATCCTGTTTAACCTCGACACCTAGATATGCAATCCTGTTTTGCGAACAAGGTAAAGTTGTATCATTTGTTATGTCACCTGGATTTGTTGTCAGAATCACCTGGACACATTGACAGCATTACCTGGAGATACAGTCAGTATTTGGGGTGACCATTGAGGGGGAAACAAGTATCATGATAGCCATTGTCTATTGCAACATACTATTGCGATAGCGATAGCGATAGTCTATTGCAACCAACTATTGCAATACTAATTGCAATAGTTTTTCTCTCCTTGCATTGTGTCATTTAAAGTCATTTCCCAAATGAATGTATAGTTTATATGAAATAAAAACAAGTTGAAGCAGTTTCAGTCCCTTTTAATAACTGACAAGAAACTTGAAACCCAGATCATATAAAATGTCAAACTCTGAGTCACATGCCGTGTTTGCCGCCATGTTTGTTTAAGAGATAACAGGGGCAGATAACTCTAAATCACAGTGAACGAATCTGGTACTTCCTGTATTTTGCACTGTGCATTTATGAACGGAAGTCAATTACTGAACTATCGATGCGTCGAGAGTTTTTCGCTTCTACCATCGATTAATTGCTATCAGAGATTCAACAATTGCAATCCATCGATAGTTCGATGCAATGTTACACCACTAGTCAGTATCACAAGGATGTTGTCAGTATCAACTAGTTATGCAGTCAGCATGTGTCAGCACAAAGAACCAACCATACTCTTGCTGATAATGAAACATCTTCTGTCATAGTACTAACACAAAATGAGTGAGTGAGTTTAGTTTTACGCCACACTCAGCAATTTTCCAGCAATATGGCGGTGGTCTGTAAATAATCGAGTCTGGACCAGACAATCCAGGGATCAACAGCATGAACATCGATCTACGCAATTGGGATACGATGACATGTGTTAACCCAGTCAGCGAGCCTGACCCGTTAGTCGCCTCTTACGACAAGCATGGGTTGCTGAAGATCAATTCTAACCCGGACCTTCACGGGTATATTAATGTGATGTATGAGTGAGTTCAGTTTTACGCCGCTTTTAGTAATATTCCAGCAATATCACGGCGGGGCACACCAGAAATGGGCTTCACACATTGGGCCCATGTGGGGAATCGAACCCGGGTCCTTGGCATGACGCCATAACCACTAGGCTACCCCACCGCCCCAAAACTGTGATGAACTGAACAAAATATCACGATGTCAATATGTGACATATTTTGTAACTTGTGTATGAGCAATGTTTTTACTGTCCACTCACCTCACTGGGGCTGGTTTTTCTGAAACAAACCATTTATCACAATGTCAAAATTCATTCATTAGCTGATGATGAGCTAAAAATCCTTTCAATTGTTAATTAAGCAGGTTCTCTTACATAGGCGAAATATTGTAATGTCCAATACAGATAAATGTTGAAGTTGAAGGTTGGTGGAGATAATGAGTGTAATGGGATTGCAAAAACTGAGCATAGTTGTATGAATGAAAAATATAAATTCTATATCTGTAACACATTCTTTAATTTGCTACCTAAATCTGTTTGTATGAGTTGAAAACTAGTGAACAGAAAACACTACTCATTAAATCATGCTTGGATAAGTCTGTCAGGTATTTGAGACACTACATTCTCATTCTCACCTTCATACTTTTCCACTTCCTCCTCTTCTTCATCTTCGTCTTCATCATCATCATCATCATCAGGAACTTCCTCGTATTTCGGCTTACTCACTTGGCCCAGCTCAAAGTTACGAAGCTTTTTCTCATAGAGACCTCGAGTAGATTCTATATGTGGAAGATTGATGATTGCCTTAGACGACGTAACAAGGTTCATACAGGCATGGAACATAAAATTTATCACCTTTTCAAGATTTTTTATTTGTCATTTCAAGGTATTTATTAGCCCTGGTCAATAACTTCTTTAAATCCTGCAAATTATTTATTGGTCTTGAGCCAAAATTGTAAAAGCAAACAAATAAATTAAATTCATCGTGATTCCTAATACTTTCTTAAGCCAGTACCTGTCATTTTGGTATTTGGGTGATTTTCTAGCCTTTTCAAGGTTGGTACTTCACATCAAGACTTTGCAAATGGGGGACTTTAAAGTTCAAGGTCTTTTCAAGCCTGTATGGATCTTGCATACAATATTCCAAACAGTAAACATGACAACAACCAACTGTCACTGTTTTGATACAAATAATATTTTATTTATGATATTATGATTCAATGAAAATCTCAGCATCAGATGCATTCTTTTTACGTAACAGTAGAAAAGTGAATCATCAATCAGAGGTACAGATAAGCTGCATATCTGCGTAAATTACGCAAATATTTATGTGAAAACTCAATTCCTATTAAGTCTATTGCGTACAAGTACGCTTGAATTTTTGTAAATACTCAAGAAATGTGATCTTACATGCGTACACACGAAAGTGTCAAATCTTAGTTTGGGTACCGGTGGATAGATAAAATAACTTAGGTATATTCAGAGGTTCTGTTACAGCATATGAACTTGACAACTTGCAGTCTTTCTTGTCGTTTCTCATATTACAGATCAAATATAAACAACAAACACTAACATTTAAACTTTATTATATTTACAAAATTAATGGAAAATGGCAAAATACCCAATTGAGTTTGAGTGTGGTGAGTACAATTTATTTGGTTACTCAAAGGAAAAGTACGATACCCAATTGAGATGAACACAAGCGAGTACATAACTCAATGACCCAAAAAGTTTTTCTCTTGGAAAACATGTAGAAAGTTTCTAAGCTGACTCTTTTCAAAAGAGTGTAATTTCTTTTCGGGAGCAGCAAGTCGGCAAGGTGATGTTCGGAATTCAATGTTGAGTGACAAATAATACTTACTGACAATGGGGCCCACTTTAATGCCATATTCTCGAAGCCTTTCACCAAGTTCTCGATCAGACAGGCCGGCGATACTGTCAGTTGGGGCCATTCTGGTTTGAACGGGAATACTGAAATAAGGAAATATCAATAAGATGGAAATCAATTATTTGATTTTCCAACAACTGCCTTTACGTATACTACTGTGTTCATAGATGCAGATGTAAAAACCTATGTGCACACCTTTAGGCGACTTAGTGAAAGTTAATTTTAAGGTTTACACAATAATAAATGCAAACGAATATTGAAAGTCATTAAAAACTTCACAATTAATCACAAATAGCAATACTTCAGCAACATCACAGCAGGGGACACGAGAAATAGGCTTCACACATTGTACCCATGTGGGGAATAGAACACAGGCTTTCAGCAGGACCACTGGGCTACCCCACCACCCCACATTTGGTTTGATGATAAACAATCAGGAATGTCTCTGACCCTGAACAACACAGATCTAGTTTGAGCTTTGGTTGAATATTATACACTGTATTAAATACATGTACGCACACATATTCACTAATATTGGCCTTGTCCAATCCAACGTGCTAATTTGATAAGTGAATGAAAATCTATTCCACAGGCTTTACAACTAACTATGCTTGTCAACTTGACAAATGCTCTTCAGCCTGACACTGATTCCATGACCCCTACTACCAGCCCAGATAGTGAGTGCAATGAATATGTTCAGGTGATACTGATTACATATCCAGGTGATACTGACAACATATCCAGGGGATACTGACGAAATATCCAGGTGATCCTGACAATGTGTCTTGGTTATATTGATTACATATCCAGGTGATACTGACAACATATCTAGGTGATACTGACTACATATCCAGGTGATACTGACTACATATCCAGGTAGAACTGACTACATACCCAGGTGAAACTGATTACACATTCAGGTGATACTGACTACAGATCCAGGTGATACTGACTACATATCCAGGTAGAACTGACTACATACCTAGGTGAAACTGATTACACATTCAGGTGATACTGACTACATATCCAGGTGATACTGACAACATATCCAGGTAGAACTGACTACATACCCAGGCGTTACTGAATACATATCCAGGTGATACTGACAACATTTCCAGGTGATACTGACAACATATCCAGGTGATACTGACTACATAACAAGGTGATACTGACTTCATATCCAGGTGATACTGACAACTTATCCAGGTGATACTGACTACATATCCAAGTGATACTGACAACTTATCCAGGTGATACTGACAAAATATCCAGGTGATACTGACTTCATATCCAGGTGATAACACATGCAGGTGATACTGACTACATCAGGGTTAGAAATAACTTTAAAATTGCTAGTGTACACCGGTACAGTGGCACATGTAAAATCACTTGCCCTGATAATTTTTCCACTGTATTGGCCGTTTTCTTGTTGATTTTTTAAATAAACAATATAATAAATATTGGAAAGTCAACTGGACACCGTTACAGTGTGATATACAAATTTGCTTGCCCGACAGAAAAAAACACTGGACTCGGACGTCGGGCAATGGGTTATTTCCACCCCTGTACATATTTAGGTGATAGTGAGTACAGAAAATCTGGAAGGCTTCGCACCATGACATTATTGGTAGTTGATAAAAATAGCTCCTGTTTTTGGTTTGTTGATAGTCTGCAAATATAACCATGTCATGAAACTTTGTGTGTATCACTTGCAGTTTTTGCATTACTTTCTTGCTTGAAAAAGTTTCCAAATTTACAGTATCCAGGTCATAATGTCTACATAACTATGGTAACCAGGTGATATTGCTCTACATATCTTGGTGATACTGACTACATATCCAGGTGATACTGACTACATATCCAGGTGATACTGACTACATATCAGGTGATACCGACTACATATCCAGGTGATACTGACATGTCCTGGTTATAAATCTGGAAAGTTTTGCAAGCAGAGATGTATTGCAAAAACTACAAGTGATAAACACTTGCAAAAGCTTCATAACACACTTATTTTTAATTGTCAAAATTGATCACTTTGCTAATATACTTAGTGACTGGGTGGAAAAAATAGCTAAGATTAAGAACTGACAGTAGGCATGTTTACGTCTTTGTCTGAACAAAACATCAGGACAAATGTGGGACAATAATTGTAGAGGTGATTAATGAAAAGAAGAAGAAAGAATAAAGAAGATTTGCTTTGTCGAGCATACTTTCGGTTTCACTTCTTTCGAAAAAGTTAGCAAGTCCTAAATTTCACGTGAAACTGATTACAATTAATGTCCATTTGGCAGTATACAGCTTTTTGAAAGCATACATATGAGAACTGATGAATCAACTAATGGTCTAACAGTTTGACCCCATCAATTAAATAATGGATACAAACCGTCTGTTATATCAGTACTTGCTTGCGAATCCTCGGATTATTACGTCGCTTCTGAGCCGATTTACTTCCAGGTCACATTTAGAAAAGGCGCGAGTATGCGTGACCTTTTACATTATACAACAGCAACACCGATTGGTTTGAAGGAAGCGCCGACATTTACCTTAACCAATCAACGTAAGTGTGTTTTACTGCAAAGGAAAGAAAGTGGAACCGGAAGAAAACAATCCACATGTCAATAGTCTGAACGTTTTGTGTGAAATCGTGCTTGAATCCAAAATAAATCCAATATCATGAAGATAGTAACATGGAATGTAAATGGCATCAGAACTCGCCCATCACTGAAGGAGGACATCGAATCTCTGGACGCTGACATTCTTTGCTTTCAAGAAACTAAAGTAACAAGTGAGATAATCTAATATACCAGTTTTAGTACATACCACGCCAGAATATGACATATTCTGGTAAATAGACTGCATTTGGAAGCCGTAGCCCTTGACTTTTGGCAAAACTCCATGTGATGCTGAACACAGACATTGTGACATGTTGCTGAGAGTGAGAGTAGAGGACGAGTTATGTTCCAGTGACTAGAGTAGACACAGGGACTGATGTGTTCAGTGAGTGAGTCTCTTTTATAAATATTCCAGCAATATCATGAGAGGGGACACCAGTGAGTACAGACAGGGTGTGACTGATGTTAAGTGACTAGAGACAGGGTGTGACTGTGATATATTGTGAGTACAGAGAGAGAGTTACTGTGATGTATTTTTAGTACAGAGAAAAGTGACTGTGATGTAGTACAGAAAAAGTGACTGTGATTTATTTTAGTACAGAGTACAGACAGGGTGTGACTGAGATGTATTTTGAGTACAGTACAGACTGTGATATAAAGTGACAGGGTGTGACTGTGACTTATTGTGTTGATGTACAGAAAAAGTGTATTTATTGTGAGTACAGACAGGGTGTGACTGTGATGTATTTTAGTACACAAAAAGTGACTGATGACTGTATTTGTAGTAGTACAGACAGGGTGTGATGATTGCGAATGATTGTATTGATTTATTGAGTACAGACAGGGTGTGACTGATGTATTGTGAGAATACAGACAGATTTAGTGTGACTGTGATTTATTGTGAGTACAGACAGGGTGTGACTGTGATATATTGTGAGGGTGTGAATACAGACAGGGTGTGACTGATGATGTAGACAGGGTGTTACTGTGGTGTGACTGTGATATTATACAGACAGAGGGTGTGACTGTGATTTATTGCGAATACAGACACAGGGTGTGACTACAGATGTATTGATGAATTACACAGACAGGGTGTGACTGTACAGATGTATTGTGAGTACAGACAGGGTGTGTGACTGTGATTTATTGTGAGTACAGACAGGGTGTGACTGTGATTTATTGCGAATACAGACAGGGTGTTACTGATTTATTGCGAATACAGACAGGGTGTGACTGTGATTTATTGTGAGTACAGACAATACAGACAGGGTGTGACAGACAGGGTGTGATGATATATTGTGAATACAGACAGGGTGTGACTGTGATTTATTGTGAGTACAGACAGGGTGTGACTGTGATATATTGTGATATAATACAGATTTATTGTGTACAGACAGGGTGTGACTGTGATATATTGTGTGATGACTGTGATTGTGAGTACAGACAGGGTGTGACTGTGATATATTGTGAGTACAGACAGGGTGTGACTGTGATATTGTACAGACAGGGTGTGATGTGTACAGACAGAGTGATGATATATTGTGAGTACAGACAGGGTGTGACTGTGATGTATTGTGAGTACAGACAGGGTGTGACTTTGATGTATTGTGAGTACAGACAGAGTGACTGATTTATTGTGAGTTCAGACAGGGTGTGACTGTGATTTATTGTGAGTACAGACAGGGTGTGACTTTGATGTATTGTGAGTACAGACAGGGTGTGACTTTGATGTATTGTGAGTACAGACAGGATGTGATGTTGCAGGGGACATGCTGGAAGAGCCTGTGGCAGTCATTGATGGCTACAACTCCTACTTCAGCTTCAGTCGCAAGAAAACAGGATATTCTGGTATGTTGACCTGGCTGTAAAACTGGAGATATGTACTGCTATGTTGTTATTGTCAGACAAAATCTATAATTGAGTGATACCCCAATCGTTTTAGGCCCAAAACAAATGCATGTCCGTTTCCTATTAAATGCTTTTTAAAAATAGGGTAGGTGGGTGGGTTTTATCTTTGTTTTTTACTTTTTAAATTGTTTTTAGTAGCACCAGGTGGGCACCTGAGAAAGTCTTCATGAGTACCATATCATGTAGTGACAATGCCTTGTGATGAAACATTGAAAGATTTCTATATAAAATCATTATTTATGTTATGTATTTGCAGGTTTTGTCAGTGAGAGCCAGTTATGCCAATTCAATGCAATGATGAGTTGAAATGCACTCGTCATTATTTTGACTTGGTTAAAAAAAGTGTGTGTGTGTGTGCTGGTATTTTTAAAAAAAATTTGGGGGTAGGGGGAGAGAGAGAGAGAAAAAGGGGGGGTAGGATAGGGTCGGTAGCGCAAAAGGACATTTGTGTGTGTGTGTGTGTGTGTGGGCTTTACATTGTGTAATGAGTACATTAATATCCCCTCAGTCCCAAACTATTTTCTTTGTTTGAAAACATATTTTATTGAAAGTTGTGAATTAGAAACTCGAACAGGGTGAGTATTTTTCTGTTTCTGTGTTCTGCATGTACTGACAACAGGCTAAAGCTGGGAACTTGCTCTCAACATGTCAACTTGAGACAGGTTCATAACTGTCAACAAAATACATTTCCAGTCATAGTCAAAGAGATGTGGAAAACCCAGTTTAATAGGACAACACAATAGGTTATCAATTAAGGAAGAAAAGTTCCCGCAGAAAAATTTGTAACCACACCTCTGCTTGATGAAACCCTGCCGGCTGGTCAACAAAATTTGTGCTTGTTTGCCGTACAAAATTAATTACAGCAACCTTATAGGACTACGTATAGTAAACTATGATATATGTATACAAAGAATGTGAACTATACTACACAAATATGCATTAAGATGTTATGAGAATAATTTGTAAAATAGTAATTAGCAATACAATGGCGAAGTTGAGGCAAAATTCCAATATTGACCGGTAGCAGAGCTGTGCAGAAAACGTGCTGCAACATGGGTAGAATATGGGCAGCGTTCGATATTAACATAGATCCTTAGGCCCGAAGCTGACTGAAAACCTCTCGGACCCACAGCATTTGTTTTCTGCGTATCCTTATGGCCGACAGCTTTTTCATCCCCAATAACTAAGAGTAGTATTTCCATATTAAAATATAGAGCCTACATATTCTGATCAGGACCCACAACTTTTTATGGTCCTGGGTCCTTAGGGCCTGCAGCGTCTCAGGGATAAGGGCAAACACTGAATATGGGTACATGCCAACTGTGTGACACATGTGATCGTTCCTTGCTTATGTTCTGACACTGCTCAGTTGTGATGGGGCACAAGTGATCAGACGGTCTTAAAGATCACATATACTCTAGGGGGTACAAATACATAAATCACTAACTGGCATCGCTATAAATGAAACCCCGTCATTAAAACTACTCACTTCGGTCTTTAATTAACTTAAATCGACCTTTTTGACAACAGTGCACAATTCTCACCCGCGAACGAACTTTCAACCAATCAGAGCGGGGCGTCTCTGTGACGTCATATGAGGAATAGATATGAGGGCCAATGCAGAATTCATCTACATTTCAGGGGGTAAATTATCTTGTTTACAGGATTGTATAAACCTGAAATCATGACAATTGTTGTGGAAAACGAAAGCTATATGTTCTCACAATCTGCTGTCATTTAATTTTGTCTCCTGCTTTGCCTAGTTTCCGAGTTACAACTTGTTTTCATAGACGATTCTGTCAAAATCGCTTGGTGTCGTTAGGCCTTATTTGTATAATGACTGATCCAAATTGATCCCATTTCTTTTTTACCTCGATATTTAATCATGTCATGTAAAAATATGACGTCTTTTACGTATGATATTAAAAACTGACATTTGATTTATTTGAATCGGTAAACTAAACAACCCTACTTTGCCATTGCTAGAAGAATCTGAAAATTTACCAGGGTAAATAGGTACATACAGTTTTAGCACACAGCAAATGCTTATATGTATTTCTTATGCAACAATGAAGTTCTGTTTGTATTCTCAAAACAGTGTCGGCCCATAAGTTTCCACAGGCAATACAGCAATTAATACTCCCTTGTTGTAACCCGTGTTAGGTGGTATAAACCTACACATGTAATTTGTCATCATTCACTTGATGGTCAGTTAATGAATTTATAACAGGTATAATTAGTGGTTACACACTTAGATTACCCGACAAAGGTTCCCATTTGGCATTTCTTGTGTCTGGAGTAAATATTCAACATTATAAACATCGATCAAAGGATTAACTGCTAACACGCTGATTGATTAATAACTTTTCTCTTACACAGCTGATTTGTCAAAAGGTAGTGTTTATGTATGTAGATTTACTAATCTATACTGAATACACTCTGTCGTGTCGGTGTCTGCGTACAAACAACGTCCTTCTTTCAAAGGATTAACCGGCAATACATTGATTAATTGCCCATTATTGGCTAACTAAATTACTGTTTTTAAAGAAAGGCGGACATTATGCAATTAGTTGCCAGGTGTGCTATCTTGGGTGGCCAATGAGACTATACACCAATGTGAAATACCTGAAAAGATTTATCACTTTTTAGTATATTAAACTGTTAAAAGACACGTCACTTGGAACAGCTGCAGATGAATGGCATATCTCAGATTTTTGTGGATATTGATGGATACATTCCTCGAACAAGGTAATAGCCTGACATTGTTCCTATAACTTTAATCTGTTTTAATTTTAATATTTGCATTTTGTTTTTATTCATTTGTCGTAGCATTCAACAGAATCATTGTTTTCGCCGTGAAGTGTAATGAGACAGACAACATACACTAGGGTGTGTGTGCGAATTATGATTCACATTGGCAAACTATAAAATGTCTAGATATTACAGTTCTGTTATAAATTCACTATAAGTATCAGCAGATCGTCTGCTTTTTATTTAGTTTCAAAATGCATACAAGTATGATAATAAACTAATTAGGATTATAAGACCGAATATAAAGACGCACATTGACTAGTATCTACATACTGGTGAGTGGACGTTAACCATGTGAATGTAGCAAGAAATTTATCGCGCAGTATTGTGACTTCGACCCCCACCTCGCTTCCGTGGAAGAAATCGTTATGTTATAAGTTGTGTCATGCAAAATCCTTTTGGTTATGATTCCAATACATATTTAACTTCACGAGTAGAAAGTAGTTTTGATTTTCTAACTTGATGAAAACAAACCATAATCTCATTAATTCTAACAGACTTTAGCCCGTCACTTTACGATTTTCAAAATGGCGGTAGCCCTGTCGAACATCCGCCAGTCTGAGGATAAATGCTATTTAGGTTTGTTTTCACCGAAGTTACAAAATCAAAACTACTTTCTACTGGTAGTAAAATATGTATTTGATTGATGGCCAATAGATTTTTGCATGATTATAACTTATAACATAACAATTTCTCGATGGAAGCGAGGTGGGTGTCAATATAATACTACTTACAATATTATTGTTACTTCGACCACAACCTCGCTTCTGAGGAAGAAATCGTTATGTTACAAGTTGTGTCATGGAAATCTTTATGGTCATCAATCATATACATATTTTACTACAACTAGTAAGTAGGTTTGATTCTTTAACTTCCGTGAAGCAATCTGAACACAAGTAAGATATCGTTTCAGGCTTCCACAACGCTCGCTTCGCACTCACAAACATAACCCATTTAGCACGAACTGCGGGGTCCTGTGGAAATCTGTGCATGGTGACACCATCGTCCGACCTCTAGGAGCAATCGACGACAACACAACGATTCGGCATGTCGTCGTTGATGTCGAGAAATCATCAAAATGATGAGCGTGCTACACACTTTCTATACAACTAACTGAAAATCGTTCCTCATATGACGTCACTGCAGTGCTCTGGCGACAGAGTTACGTAACCTGTCTATGGTTTCAGTGGCGGGCGAGAGTGAAGCAGGCGCCTTTTTGGCAACTTTTAATCGCTCGGTATTAATTAACCTCAAGTTTTTTAAGAATGAATTTGGTGTTCCGCATAAGTCTAACCACAAATCTTTCGTATGTAATAGTTAAAAGAGTACAAAAAAACAAAGTTTATTTGTTCTTTAAGATAAGACTATTTGCTATGCAGGGTTGCCTCCCTTGGGTGTGTCCAAATACTATCTCCACAAGTTCAAGTCCCATTCTTGATCCAGTGCCAGTGCCCATTGGTTTCCTAAAAGTTTATATCCATCCAATCATGCCTCCATCATTTGTCCATGCACACTAGTAGTATACCTTGATGCTACAAAAATACTGTTCACAGCAGCTATAATTCTGACTGTCATGGACTCTCAGCTCAGTTCTGTGTGCCATGATGTCTGCGACAGCAACGTACCTGTGATATATGATCCGTGGAATCTTTAGACATTTGCCTTTGAATAGTCATAGGCGGATCCAGAGTTGGTGTGCAGGGGTGTGCAACCCCACTTTTGTCCTGAAAATCTATTAAATGACCATTGAAACTCTCATGAAAACAAGTGAAAATGAACCGTGCATCCCCCCTTTCTCAAAAAACTGTATCCACCTGATAGTAATATGGATATACTGAACATTCCAAACAATGTGCCCTTGGTGCCAAATAAGCATAAAAACATTTATTAAAAAAAAGTAGAACAATAAATTATTTTCTTCAGTTCAGTTTAAACATTGCATTCGTTGCATGATGTAGTAATAATCATTAAAGCCTTTCCATCTTTATTGTTCTTGTTATCAGAATTTAAGCCACCTTTACAAACTCATACCTTATGTTGTTACTAAAACTGACATAAATGTTAATCACTGGATTGTCTGGTCCAGACTCAATTATTTACAGACCGCGTCCTATAGCTGGAATATTGCTGAGTGCGGCGTTAAAGTACAAACAAGGTCTTGTTACTTCTTTGATGGGCACTTTAGAAGCTGAGTTGATGAAGAATGATGACAATTTTTATGAATATACAGAATAAAAGAAGTTGTATATCCATAGAAATTGTCATCATTCTTCAAGGTTTTGTTAGTTACAGCATAAATTGTGTTGTAGGTGTGGCCACATATTGTCGTGAATCCTGCACTCCTGTCAAGGCTGAGGAAGGGCTCAGTGGGACCCTGGCCAGTGGGAAAGGAGATGTTGGTTGCTATGGCAATCTTGGCTATTTCGGTAAAGAAGAACTAGAGTCTCTGGATGCTGAAGGGCGAGCCATCATTACGCAGCACACTGTCAGGTAGAGAAACACCAGAAACACACGTCCAATAGTTGTCATCAGCTAGTTTACCATGGGTAATAAGGGAGTCCATGATGTTGCTGACTCAGCAGTATTCCAGCTGTCATGTCTGTCTGGTGGGGTAGCCCAGTGGTTAAAGTATTTGCTCGTCACGCTACATACAATGTGTGAAGCCCATTTCTGGTGTCCCCCGCCATGATATTGCTGGAATATTGCTAAAAACACCGAAAAACCATACTCACTCTCTCACTATGATAGCCAGCATGTTGTAACATCACCTTTCACTGTTCCATTGAACACCAAGGGTATGATGTATCCATAAGTTATAATACATGCCCTGTAGCCATTAAACACCAAGGGTATGATGTTTCCATTCGGTTTTAATAGATGCCCTGGAGCCATTGAATACCAAGGGTATGATGTGTCCATTTGGTTATAATAGATGCCCTGGAGCCATTGAATACCAAGGGTATGATGTATCCATTCGGTTTTAATAGATGCCCTGGAGCCATTGAATACCAAGGGTATGATGTATCCATTAGGTTATAATAAATGCCCTCGAGCCATTGAATACCAAGGGTATGATGTATCCATTCGGTTTTAATAGATGCCCTGGAGCCATTGAATACCAAGGGTATGATGTATCCATTCGGTTTTAATAGATGCCCTGGAGCCATTGAATACCTAGGGTATGATATATCCAGTCGGTTATAATAAATGCCCTGGAGCCATTGAATACCAAGGGTTTGATGTATCCATTAGGTTTTAATAGATGCCCTTGAGCCACTGAATACCAAGGGTATGATGTATCCATTAGGTTATAATAAATGCCCTCGAGCCATTGAATACCAAGGGTATGATGTATCCATTCGGTTTTAATAGATGCCCTGGAGCCATTGAATACCAAGGGTATGATGTGTCCATTTGGTTATAATAGATGCCCTGGAGCCATTGAATACCAAGGGTATGATGTATCCATTCGGTTTTAATAGATGCCCTGGAGCCATTGAATACCAAGGGTATGATGTGTCCATTTGGTTATAATAGATGCCCTGGAGCCATTGAATACCAAGGGTATGATGTATCCATTCGGTTTTAATAGATGCCCTGGAGCCATTGAATACCAAGGGTATGATGTATCCATTAGGTTATAATAAATGCCCTTGAGCCATTGAATACCAAGGGTATGATGTATCCATTCGGTTTTAATAGATGCCCTGGAGCCATTGAATACCAAGGGTATGATGTATCCATTCGGTTTTAATAGATGCCCTGGAGCCATTGAATACCTAGGGTATGATATATCCAGTCGGTTATAATAAATGCCCTGGAGCCATTGAATACCAAGGGTTTGATGTATCCATTAGGTTATAATAAATGCCCTGGAGCCATTGAATACCTAGGGTATGATGTTTCCATTAGGTTTTAATAGATGCCCTGGAGCCATTGAATACCAAGGGTATGATGTATCCATTAGGTTTTAATAGATGCCCAGGAGCCATTGAATACCAAGGGTATGATGTTTCCAGTCGGTTATAATAAATGCCCTGGAGCCATTGAACAACAAGGGTGTGATGTATCCATTAGGTTTTAATAGATGCCCTGGAGCCATTAAATACCTAGGGTATGATGTATCCATTAGGTTTTAATAGATGCCCTGGAGCCATTGAATACCAAGGGTATGATGTATCCATTAAGTTATAATAGATGCCTTGGAGCCATTGAATACCTAGGGTTTGATGTATCCATTAGGTTAAAATAGATGCCCTGGAGCCATTGAATACCTAGGGTTTGATGTATCCACTTGGTTATAATAAATGCCCTGGAGCCATTGAATACCAAGGGTATTATGTATCTATTCATTTATAATAGATGCTCTGGAGCCATTGAATACCAAGGGTATGATGTATCCAGTCGGTTATAATAAATGCTCTGGAGCCATTGAATACCAAGGGTATGATGTATCTATCGGTTTTAATAGATGCCCTGGAGCCATTGAATACCAAGGGTATGATGTTTCCAGTCGGTTATAATAAATGCCCTGGAGCCATTGAATACCAAGGGTTTGATGTATCCATTAAGTTTTAATAGATGCCCTTGAGCCATTGAATACCAAGGGTATGATGTATCCATTAGGTTTTAATAGATGCCCTGGAGCCATTGAATACCTAGGGTATGATGTATCCATTAGGTTTTAATAGATGCCCTGGAGCCATTGAATACCAAGGGTATGATGTATCCATTAGGTTTTAATAGATGCCCTGGAGCCATTGAATACCAAGGGTATGATGTATCCATTAGGTTATAATAGATGCCCTGGAGCCATTGAATACCAAGGGTATGATATATCCAGTCGGTTATAATAAATGCCCTGGAGCCATTGAATACATGGGTATGACATATTGATCAGGTTATAATAGATGCCCTTGAGCCATTGAATACCATGGCTTTGTTTCAGGCCGCACTGGAAAGTATGGTAAACATTACCATCCAATCATGATCAAGAGAAATACGATGGTTAGAGACAGAAGTGATGGCGGGAGTGATGGATGGCACTTCTGAAAATGATGCCATGATATAAAGAGTTACAGAATATTTCTCATAGAATGGTTAGCAGTATGGCTGTGTTAAATCACTTGTATGAGAGTTGGGTAAATGTTGAAGATTGAGTGATGGTTTATATTCCCTGCTTGTTACTTATTCCTCCATTTATCTGTACAGGAATTCAGATGGTGATGTGAAAGATTTGGCAATCATCAATGTATATGTGCCGCGAGTGGACAGTGAGAGAGATGATAGGAAGGAGTACAAACTGCGGTTCCTGACGTTGCTTCAAACCAGGGCAGAGGCTCTCCTTACACAAGGAAGGTACGTGACACTGCTTGAGACCAGGGCGGAGGCTCTCCTTACACAAGGAAGGTAACTGACACTGCTTGAGACCAGGGCGGAGGCTCTCCTTACACAAGGAAGGTATCTGACACTGCTTGAGACCAGGGCGGAGGCTCTCCTTACACAAGGAAGGTATGTGACACTGCTTTAGACCAGGGCCGAGACTCTCCTTACACAAGGAAGGTACGTGACACTGCTTGAGACCAGGGCCGAGACTCTCCTTACACAAGGAAGGTATGTGACACTGCTTTAGACCAGGGCGGAGGCTCTCCTTACACAAGGAAGGTATGTGACACTGCTTGAGACCAGGGCCGAGACTCTCCTTACTAAAGGAAGGTATGTGACACTGCTTGAGACCAGGGTGGAGGCTCTCCTTACACAAGGAAGGTATGTGACACTGCTTGAGACCAGGATGGAGGCTCTCCTTACACAAGGAAGGTATGTGACACTGTTTGAGACCAGGGCGGAGGCTCTCCTTACACAAGGAAGGTATGTGACACTGCTTGAGACCAGGATGGAGGCTCTCCTTACACAAGGAAGGTATGTGACACTGCTTGAGACCAGGGCGGAGGCTCTCCTTACACAAGGAAGGTATGTGACACTGCTTGAGACCAGGATGGAGGCTCTCCTTACACAAGGAAGGTATGTGACACTGCTTTAGACCAGGGCCGAGACTCTCCTTACACAAGGAAGGTATCCAACAAAATCCATCTGTTTTCAACAGTACAATTTAATGACTTGGCATTTCAAAAGTCTCCGATAAAATTAAGTTTGGTTTCTGTTGTAGTTATGTGATTGTTGTTGGAGACATCAACATCTCCCATCGGATGATCGACCACTGTAATCCTGACAGTGAGGTGAGTTGGTGTTAGACACTAGGTGTTAGTTACAGATTGTTTCATTATAGCTTATCTTTATGAGGTTTTCTTGCCATGCTGGAAAAATTGCTTTCTCATAAGTGCATTGAAATTGAAAATAATCACATCAATCATTAAGGATCTTATTCTTACATGTAAGTGAGATATGTTGGGGTGTATTTACTAGTTTTGTAGAATGGGGTGATATATAGGTGAGATATGAGAGGGTGATATATAGGTGAGATATGAGGGGTGATATATAGGTGATATATGAGAGGGTGAGATATGAGGGGTGGTATATAGGTGAGATATGAGAGGGTGAGATATGAGGGGTGGTATATAGGTGAGATATGAGAGGGTGATATATAGGTGAAATATGAGAGGGTGAGATATAGGTGAGATATGAGAGTGTGATATATAGGTGAAATATGAGAGTGTGATATATAGGTGAAATATGAAAGTGTGATATATAGGTGAAATATGAGGGGGTGATATGTAGGTGAGATATGAGAGTGTGATATATAGGTGAGATATGATGGGTGATATATAGGTGAGATATGAGAGGGGTGATATATAGGTGATATATGAGAGGGTGAGATATGAGGGGTGGTATATAGGTGAGATATGTGAGGGTGATATATAGGTGAAATATGAGAGGTGATATATAGGTGAAATATGAGGGGGTGATATATAGGTGAGATGTGAGAATGTGATATATAGGTGAAATATGAGGGGTGATATATAGGTGAAATATGAGGGTGTGATATATAGGTGAAATATGAGAGGGTGATATATAGGTGAAATATGAGAGGTGATGTATATTTGAAATATGAGAGGGTGATATATAGATGAAATATGAGAGGTGATATATAGGTGAGATATGAGAGGGTGATATATAGGTGAGATATGAGAGGTGATATATAGGTGAAATATGAGGGGTGATATATAGGTGAAATATGAGAGTGTGATATATAGGTGAAATATGAAGGGGTGATATATAGGTGAAATATGAAGGGGTGATATATAGGTGAAATATGAGAGTGTGATATATAGGTGAAATATGAGGGGGTGATATATAGGTGAAATATGAGAGGGTGATATATAGGTGAAATATGAGAGGTGATATATAGGTTAAAAATGAGGGGGTGATATATAGGTGAAATATGAGGGGGTGATATATAGGTGAAATATGAGAGGGTGATATATAGGTCAAATATGAGGGGGTGATATATAGGTGAAATATGAGAGGGTGATATATAGGTGAAATATGAGAGGTGATATATAGGTGAAATATGAGGGGTGATATATAGGTGGGATATGAGAGTGTGATATATAGGTGAAATATGAGAGGGTGATATATATGTGAGATATGAGAGGGTGATATATAGGTGAAATATGAGAGGGTGATATATTGGTGAGATGTAAGAGGGTTATATAAAGGTGAAATTTATGAGTACAAGAAATGTACTTGTGAGGAGGGTATGTATTTCTTAATGATATGCGAAGAGAGTTTGTATGAGTGATATACGAGTGGTGTATTGAAAAGTCAGCTTGGAGACTTGGTATTTATGAGTGAGATAGGAGGGTGTTTATTTATGAGTAAGATAGGAGGGTGTTTATTTATGAGCGAGATAGGAGAAGGTCTATTTATGAATGAGATAGGTGTTTTTTATGAATTATATACGAGGTGTGTCAGTATGAGATATTTACGAGAAGTGTTTTTTTATAAGTGATCAAGAAGTGGTGTATTTATGAGTGATATATGAGGAGTTTATTCATGAATGAGAGAGGAGAGTGTTTATATCAATAACATACAAGGAGTGTATGTATGAGAGATGTACGAGAAGTGTATTTGTGAGTGATATACGAGGAGTTTATTTATGAGTGAGATAGGAGAATGTGTAGTTATGAGTGAAATAGGTATTTTCATGAATAATACACGAGGAGTTTATGTATGAGAGATATACGAGAAGTGTTTTGTGAAAGATAAACAAGTGGTTTATTTATGAGTGAGATAGGAGAGCGTGTATTTATGAGTGAGATAATATATGTGTGTTGCCATAAGTTAGTTTTATGAAACACACAGGAACTGAGTGTATCCAATAATAAGCTTTTTCGTACTTACAACATTGTGTTTGAAGTTTACTGTTTATTCGTCTCAGGAATTTAACCTTCGACCTGACCGTCAATGGCTGAACAGGTTCTTATGGAGTGAAGGTCAAGATTCATCACTGGAGGTCAAGGATGAACAAGAGCTGCTTCAGATTTCAACCCCAGATACAAAAAGTGGCCAGTTTATAGATTCTTTTCGGTACTTTTATCCTGACGAGAAAGATGCCTTCACCTGCTGGTGCACCCTGACATCATCAAGAGTCACCAACTATGGCACCCGGCTTGATTACATCCTTGGAGATGCAGGACTGGTTAAAAGCAGTCTGAAGGCTTGTGTCCAGATGGTGGAAGTGCAGGGTTCGGACCACTGCCCGGTGAAGGCTGAGTTCAGTCTAGCCGGTGTGGCAGCCATTAAAGCTCCATCGTTGTGCACAAAGTACATGCCAGAGTTTGCCGGGAAACAGCAAAAGTTATCTTCCTTCTTTGTCAAAGCTGCAAAGAAGGAATCCGTAAATGCTTCTGAAGAAGTCATTGAACTGACCAGCTCTCAGAGCTCACAAGAATCAAACAAAAGTGTTGAATCCAACCCTGAGAAGAAGAGACCATTAGTAGAGGATTCTGGGAAACCTGTATTGAAGAAACCCAAACTTGAATCGAAGAAATCTTCTGAAGAAGGAAAACAAGCCAACTTGATGAGTTTTTTCAGAAAAAAACAGCTTGCCAATACCAAACCAGAACCTGTGAAACAAAAGTCAAATGGTGACGAAAAATCCTCCGATATAACAAACGGGGAGAGGATCCAAGACAAGACAGTTGACAAGAAGCTTGTTGAAGCTTCCGAGAAAGTGGTCAAGACCACAGACACAAAACCTGAAACAGTGAAGTCCTCCAGTGCCGCGTGGAAAGGTCTTCTTGGGGGGCTGGGCAAGCCACCATTATGCAAGGGCCATAAGGAAGCCTGTGTGATTCGGATGGTGAAGAAAGACGGCCCGAACAAATTCAGACAATTTTATGTGTGTGCACGAGCTGAAGGTCACAGTGGCAACCCAGAGGCTAGATGTGAACATTTTGAATGGCTGGACAAGAATAAAAAGAAGAAGCTATGATTCCTATCTGACACCAAAAACAATACGTGTGATTTTAATAAGGAATTTTAGGGTATCATACTCCCACCCTTTCTACATGTTTTTCAGAATGAACACATAGAGAGGGGTGTTTGATAACAAAAAATAAATAAAAAATCAGATTTGTGTTTCCAGGCAACTAGATGACAGAGTGAAAGGAAATTGTTTTATTGATATTTCATAATTCATGTATCATTATGATGAATGACAAGCGTGTTTGTACTAACATCACAGAAGTGCTATTTTCCAAAGACATTGCCACATGTATATTAGAAAAGTGAGAGAATAAATGTTTACAGAGACATTTGAGTGTTGGGAGAATATCTGTGTTTTGCTAATTATAAAAAATGATTAATTCTCAGGTATTTTGGGGGGGTATACAGCCATTTATGGTTGAATGAAGCTCAGTTCTAGTGTTTTTGAGTTTATTGACATGTCTGGTAACTATGGATTTGGTACCTTTTTCTTGGTCACCATTGGCGAAATGAAACTTGTGTATTGAATTCAGAAATTGTCGTTCTTAACAGCGTTGATAATTTTGAAATATGATTTGATTTTGGAAGATGATATGTAAGTGTGATCCTACATATCACAGTGTTTTTACCCCAATATTCCAAGTCAACTAGTTGGCCATATCGACACCTTACTTCAGTAATCACTGCCAAACAAAGGATTATAACTGTAGCAATGACCGATTTGTGAACAGCAAATTGTCTGGATGGAAGAGCTCATCTTTTCACCAGCTTGTCACATCTCAAAATCTCATGTTAATGCCATGTTTGTTTAAAAGTGCAGCAAAATATGCTCCATTTATTGTCATGCCTTGGTACACAAATGATTTTTAATGGTTTAAGTCGTGTACTGAACAGCAAGTCTTTGGCCGTTTGGGCTCAACTTCTCAAAGTCTTGTCTCTGAGTAATCAATACTGGACTTATGTCGTTGACCTGGGATGCGCAAAGAAGGCAAGCACAACTGCAGAATTCCTGCAGAAGTCTGCAAATTGCCGACTGAGACACATATTGTGTTCCTCCTGCTGTGTTCTACCAGGTGTCCCTTAAGCCCTTAGGCAGTTATCACGTTGTGGAAAATGAATTACCAATCTTACCACAAATACTGCATTAAACATCAAGCAAGACATCTTCACCCAAGTGTGTAGAGGAACTGCAATGTTTCATTTCCTCTCTTCACTTAGTTCAGGGTCATAAAGAGGTCTCCAGCACCAATGCTTATCTCGCAGAGAAGATGCCTTGGCCGCTCAGGTCCACAGATCCCCACCTAACATGACCACGCAGTCGTGTTTGACCATATTTGACCATTTCAAACAAAATACTGCAATGACGGTCATTAGTTTGTGTGAAAATCGCTGCGCCAAAGTCTCTTTGAGGAATGTGGGTCGGATTGCTGACTGTGTGCTGGCAATTCGGTGCCTGACTCAACCCAACATAAGTACTAGAATCTGTACTTTATTGTATGTTTAGTTTAATCCCAAAATAACATGTTTCTCTTTCTAGAACATGACCCTGGTTGAGTGCCCGGGGGATGGTTCCTGTTGATATTCCAGCCACTGACAGGCTGCCATGACATATTTGTCACTATACTGACTGGATTAGTAAACATCCTCACACCCGCACGCTGGGTCGTGTGAATTCTCTGAAAAACGTTTCAGTTTCAAAAACAAGGATTACGTTGATCTATACATGAAATTTTTTATTTACAAATTGTACAAACAATACTGGTATATCATCAATCATGATACAAAAAATCAGTTTAGGTTGTGTGAAGAATTGACTCTTTCATAACACTGTCATGAAGTACCATGTTAAAGATTCAACAAATACATGCTAACAGAAAACATGTTTCAGTGGAAAAATTATCTATCACTACACTGTACAAATTACTACATGTCCATATGATGTGTGAGTGAATAAAATCAATCATAACAATGATCAATGAATGCTTGACAGAGACGGTAATAAGAATCAAACATGGCCCCTAATACACATACACTGTCCTGTTCGTGATATACTACAGAAAATATACAAAATAGGTCTGTCAACTAATAGGGTTTCATGAGACAAACTAACTGAAATGGTAATCCTTGGGAATTGAGCTTAATGGTCTGGGAATCAGGCTTTAGGGTCATGTGGTTACTCTTCAAGGTCACACCTATGGCTGCATCGAACTTTTGGCATGATAATTCAAAGTAGGAATCAATTCTATTTTCATTTTTGCACCAGGTGTCGCCACTGATTTCAATGATCCATTCATATAATTTTCACCACTATTTTGGCAATTAGGTGTCTGACTCTGAGGGTGTGGGTTCGAATCCCGGATGGGACGTAATCCAACAAAAGTACTAGAATCTTTACTTTACTGAGTAAGTGTAATCCCAAATACATGTTACATTTGACTACTTTCTAAATGGCATTGTGTATTCACAGTATTTTGTCCTTATAAACCCAAAATATTTGTTACTCACTGGCACTGACAATGGGTCTCGGGTGAGCTGAGGGAGTGCTTCTACCACTCAACTACCCCACTGCTCCTTACAGAGGCATGCAGCCACCGGGAGCTGAGTAAGTGAGTTGGGTTTTAAGTCACTTTCAGCGATATTCCAGCAATATCATGGCGAGGACACGAGAAATGGGCTTTACACAATGTACCCATGTGGGGAATCGAACCCGGGCTTTCAGCATGACGAGCAAACGCTTGAACCACTAGGCTACCCCACCGCCCCAGCTACTAGAGCTGAAGAACATTGGGGCAGATTATTTAAACTTCAGGTAAAATATATTTTTATGCTCAAGACACTTTAACAACATTAAGTGTACAAATTCTTTTGAAATGATGACATAAATGATGCCATTATTTCAATATACATGTGAAAGAGAATGAACGTAAGTATACATTTCATGAGCTTGTACAGTAATTTCGTGACCTTATACTGTAGACTTCACAACTCCCACTGGAAACACTAAGATATGCCTCACCAGTGGGGGGAATTAAAGCTCCACATGATAGGAAACACTGATGCCTCTTGAAGTACATAATGAACACTATTACTTACATTATGCACCAGTATGATTTGTCCAGACTTAAGAGTTGTTATTACAATTCAAATGTACAGGCATTGCTTTCAGTGTCATGGCAGGATATAAAAAACACCTACATGTATAAGGAAAGTATTTTTTAAATGAAAACTGTTAGTAAAAATCATAGTGTTTCAACTTCATTAACTTCACTATATTTTCCTCAAATGTTATTTCGGGGAGGTAAAAAAGCTTAGAAGCCCCAAAGTTCCACAGTAAAGTTTCGGGTTCTGTTGTGAGAGCATCTGGCACCACTACATCTCTGGGTATAATGCTCATGCTGTTGATCACTGGATTGTCTGGTCCAGACTCTATTTACAGACCTCTGCCACACAGCTGGAATACTGGCAAGTGCAATGTTAAACAACAAACAAGCAAACAAAATCTTCATCCAACACAGTGGTGAATAATTGTTTTCAATCACCAAATTTTGAATTTTCTGGGTCATTTGGGTTTTAACATTACTTGATGAAAATGTCAAGATTGTCAACATTAATGAGTATCATTGTTTGTCTAAAGGAAATAGGAGGAAATATTGAAAACACGGTGGCCTGAATATTTTAAAATAGAAATGGATTTTGTCACTGTCCTTCACTGGAAATCAGATTAAATTTATTGTATATAGTAAGCAAAGGCTAACTTCTGTTTGAAGATGTACAAGGCAATAAATCATTCAAATTTCAACAACAGTGATCTGTTCATGAACAGATCCCTTGAGATCTTACGACAATCAATATTATGTTTGCTCTACATAGTAGAAACAACCTAATAATTACAGAAGTGGTATACCATTCAAAATCTGGTGTTATCACATACTGATAGACTGTTATGTACATCATAACATCTACAAGTTTCCTATTCTGTTCATAACAGTGATCCTTCAGAACAAATTTATACATTCTTACAAAAAATCTGCTAATCAGCTTGTTATCGCCTCATAAACTCAACCCCTGCCGCCAAATTGTGGGCAGACATGTCGGAGTCTTCTGGCTGAATGAGGCGGGTGTCGGAGTGTGCGCTGGCATTGGTGGAGACACTCACAGGGGAATCCCTCCCATCAACTGGCTGGTAGCCTCTCTGAACCAAATAGGAGTAGATGGGGGGATCACTAGGCTTCACTTCATAAGGCTTCTGTGGCTGCGGTCGGGCATCACCTGGATATGTTGGAGGGGGCATATTTGGGTGGCCCTGAATGGGCCGGAAGTGGCCCGGTCCTGGCGCCATGGGCATGAACTGAGGTCCAGGCTGACTTGGATACATCACAAAACGTGGACCATAGGGTCCAGCCATTTGTTGAGGGTTCATTGGCATGTGGCGAGGATCTCCTGGGTAGGAGTGGGGTTGATCAGGAGGATGTCTGGCCATGGGTTGAGGTATCCCAGACATTGAAGGATGACCGAGACGTGGAGGTGGATGTTCGGGCAAGCTGTGAGGCTGAGGCTCTGAAGGTTCAGCAGCAGCATCCTGGTCATCCCCATCTTCCTCCTCCTCTTCTTCCTCCTCCTCCTCTTCTTCTTCCTCCTCCTCAGATGCTTCTTCTTCATCTTCTGTCTCTTGTCCTTCTACCTCATCTTCTTCCTCATCAGGTCCAACTCCGATCGATTCCGCTTCATCTTCCTCCTCTGGCTCATACCTCTGTGGCTTGGATTTGACACGAGGTATTATCTCTCGCTGTATAGTTCTCTCCGGTGGATGCTCATCCTCGTATGAAGGGTTTCTGTACTTGTCCTGTCTGAGTCTATCGGGTCGGTTGTTTCTACCCCGGGACTGGTATGTGTCGAAAGACTGATCAGCTTCATACCTCTTCTTTCTCGGCAGTGAATCCACTGAAAGTTAAAAAGGACATAAAATGTAAACAGAAAGATAATTTGTTAATATAAAGAATAGTAAGATGATTTGTTAATATAAACAAGACAAAAATTGTAAGTAAGACACACTAATATTCCCAATTGTGACTCAAAACTTCAGCTGAAGAACAATATTGTTCATTCTTCACAAAAATACAATTTTGTATCAAACTTTGCAAGTGTTACCAACTGTTCTTACTTGGTCAAGATCAAAACAATATTCCTTACAAAACCTTTATGACTAACATGTCTTGCAAAAAAATTTTGATGACAACATGAACAAAGATGTCGCAATCATAAAGTGACCACCTGTATAAATCTTGATGATCAACATATAACACCTAGTCTTAACCCAGTAGGTCAAATGTTTGCTTGATGCACACATAAGGACCTGGTTTGATTCACCACACTAGTGCAAAGTGCGAAGCATATTTCCAATATTACCACCATGATATAGTCTGCAGATTCATAAAAATGGCATAAATTCACATTCATTCACTGTAAACTATAGAGGTGGGAGTGACTGAATTCATTCTGGATGACATTTTTCTTGGTTGTAGTGACATTCCAGAGCTACTTCTGCTCCTTTATCAGGTGGGTTCTGATATTTTCCAACTTCTAAATGCTGATCAAAGACTTACTGCTGATCAAAGACTTACTACTGATCAAAGACTTACTGCTGATCAAAGACTAAATGCTGATCAAAGACTAACTGCTGATCAAAGACTTACTGTTGATCAAAGACTAACTGCTGATCAAAGACTTAACTGCTGATCAAAGACTTACTGTTGATCAAAGACTAACTTCTGATCAAAGACTTACTGGTGATCAAAGACTTACTGCTGATCAAAGACTAACTGCTGATCAAAGACTTACTGGTGATCAAAGACTTACTGGTGAACAAAGACTTACTGCTGATCAAAGACTTACTGATCAAAGACTAACTGCTGATCAAAGCCTTACTGCTGATCAAAGACTAACTACTGATCAAAGACTTACTGCTGATCAGAGACTTACTGCTGATCAAAGACTTACTGCTGATCAAAGATGTACTGCTGATCAAAGACTTACTGCTGATCAAAGACTTAACTGCTGATCAAAGACTTACTGCTGATCAAAGACTTACTGCTGATCAAAGCCTTACTGGTGAACAAAGACTTAACTGCTGATCAAAGACTTAACTGCTGATCAAAGACTTACTGCTGATCAAAGACCTAACTGCTGATCAAAGACTAACTGCTGATCAAAGACTTAACTGCTGATCAAAGACTTACAGGTGATCAAAGACTAACTGCTGATCAAAGACTTACTGCTGATCAAAGACTTACTGCTGATCAAAGACTAACTGCTGATCAAAGACTTACTGGTGATCAAAGATTTACTGCTGATCAAAGACTTACTGGTGAAAAAAGACTTAACTGCTGATCAAAGACTTAACTGCTCATCAAAGACTTACTGCTGATCAAAGACTAACTGCTGATCAAAGACTTAACTGCTGATCAAAGACTTACTGCTGATCAAAGACTTACTGCTGATCAAAGACTTAACTGCTGATCAAAGACTTACTGCTGATCAAAGACCAACTGCTGATCAAAGGCCCTACCAATCAATTTATCGAACACATTGATTTCAACCAACCTTCATTAAACACACTGTCATCATCATCACTGTGGTGTCTGTGTTTACGGTTCTGATCCCGCTGGAGCGATGTTCGTGATGTGCTGACCCAGTTCTTGGTGTTGGTGCTCGCTGGCCCACGGACGGAGCCAGTGTTGATGTACGAGATGTTGTAGCGCTCGGCTGGCTTGTTCAAGCCTTTGTGCTTCCTGTGACACACAACAGCCACGATGATGATGACTATAATGATGATGGCGAACAAGACCGCTACGATGATGTAAATCACCATGTTCGGGACAAGCCGGTTGTAGTAGCCGTAATCTTCACCAAAGCCATTCTCGTAACCTGGATCCTGCCCGGCTGAAATACATATATTAAAATCGGAGTGAATATTGTGTTGCCATGGTTACATAATAATGGTGAATACGCCTGCAATATTAAACTGGCATGTCAGTGTTTATACCTTGGCCAGGCACACCAGTGGTTAATACCATGAACATCAGTCAGCTCAGTAACCCATCATGGCCACTGGTTTTTGTCGTCTCTAATGAGTGAGTGATTAAGTTTAGTTTTACGCTGCTTTTAGCAAAATTCCAGCAATATCACAGCGGGGGACACTAGAAGCTTATTATGGGCTTCACACATTGTACTCATGTGTGTGTGTGTGCGGTAGGGTAGTGGGTAAAGCTAGTGGTAAAAGCGTCACCGAAGCCGTCTGACCTGGGTTCGATTCCCCACTTGGGTACAATGTGTGAAGCCCATTTCTGGTGTCACCCGCCGTGATGTTGCTGGAATATTGCTAAAAGCGGCGTAAAACCAAACTCACTCACTCACTCATGTGGGGAATCACACCTGGGTTTCCAGCATGATGACTGAATGCTTTAACCATCTGGTCATTTCTGGTGTCCCTGCTGTTGCATTGCAGAACATTAAGCCCCATTTACACAGGACGGTGACCGCTCTGCCTTCCCTCTGCAGAAAGGCAGAAAGAAGGCAGAGCCAACGCCAAGAATGGCTCACAACGCCACTGCAGTGGCGACTGTATTGAACATGCTCAAAACAAATGCAGAGCGGTTGCCGTCATTGATTGATCACAGGACGCAGAGGGAAGGCAGAGGAAAGGCAGAGCCATCGCCGAGGTCGCAGAGTGAAGGCACAATGGTCAACGAAAGGACGCCACATAAAAACTTCTTAAACTGCGGCATTGCCCCTGCCTTCTCTCTGCCTCCACTGTGCATCAGTCGAGCATCCATTGGCGTTCGTTGAGCATTCACTCTGTCTTCATTCAGCGACTAGTGCATCCCTTTGACTGACTGACTGAGTTTGGTTTTACGCCGCTTTTAGCAATATTCCAGCAACATCACGGAGGGGAACACCAGAAATGGGCTTCACACATTGTACCCATGTGGGGGCATTGTGTAATTTTAATTACAGGTTTCGCTCTATAAATGTAAAATATGTACAATCAACACTCAGGTTATACGGACCCTCATGAACATGGTAAGCGGAGGTTGGAATGAGGTGAAATAAACATGCCATTTAAATTAGCACACGTTTTCACCGATGTTACTTTAAACTAGCGGTCCGTGGATAATGAGGCCGTAATTAGTTCGTGATTGTTGATAATATGATGTGAAATTGCTATCGCGGTTGAAGAACCACGGCGTTTGCTCTGCCTTTACTCTGCCTTTCCAGATTACATATAAATAGGTCTTGTACTGCCAATTTCCACGGTATTTGAGAACAAACAATATTCACACATTGATACTTTATTTTGAAATCCAGATATCCATAATGAGATCATAAGACTAATGAAGAGTAATGATAGCAATATGAACATCATCAAACAATTACATCCGCATAGCAATTCAGTTCCATTTAACACAACACTTCAAATCATACGGTCCTGCCATGGAACTGATCCAGCTGCATTGTTGAAGTACAACTTCAGATACTCTTACAACTGTTTTCCTGGTCGTGTGTCTCGGTTTGGTCCAACTACTTGTGCAGCATCATACGTATTTGCTTGTTGTCTCCATTCTCCAGGTATGACGTCGTGGTTATTGTCTTCAGTGTCAAGTGCAGCATTCTGTAGCTTTGGATATCGGTCTCCGATTGTATTGTGAAGACAAACGCATGCTTCAACCGCATCCCGGACTGAATTAGGCATCAGCTGCATTGTTGAAAGTAGAACTTGAAATCGCTGAGCCAAAATGCCAAACACATTTTCAACTACTCTTCTTCCACAAGAGATACGATAGTTGAAGATCCGTTGCTCCTTGGTGAGTGCCCTGATTGAATATGGCTTCATCATGTAGGTTCTGAGGACAAATGCATCATCCCCGAGTAGAAAGAATGCTATGTCACGGTCATCATTCGGCAATGGCTCAGGAGTTGGAAAGTTTATTGCGCCATCTTCGAGGCAGGTCTTCAGTTCAGATTCATTGAAAATCTGGCTGTCTGACATCGTTCTAACACCATCAAGTTCCAACGTCTCTGAAAGTCATCTACAACGGCTTTCCACTCTTGGGAGTTCCTTGGGCATTTGACAACTTCATTCTTATATTTATCTCGGATAGCTCTGCAAACTTAAGGCACAAAAATGGAGATCGTGCTGCGTGACACACGATACTGGTACTAGAGGCTTGGGTATTTGTCCCTGAGTTGCAAGGAACCTGAGGGTTACGGCAAGTTTCAAGTCAGGCTCTAAATTCTCTCGCCAATTCCTGTTCTGTTTGGCGATTCTTGGGCCAACCCGTTGGAGGAGTTCGTCAAAAAGGGCTTGCTCCATTCTCAGATAATTGTAGAATGATCCTTCATCTTCTAGATGCAGTTCTTGCATTAGTTGGTTGTAGTCCCCGAATTGCAACCGTCTATGTTGCATCAACCATGGGCGGACCCACAGGGTTCTCAATCTTCTTCTTCTACGTTTATTTATCCTTCTATTAAAAATGACAATGGCTATCTGGTTGAAAAACAATGCTTGTTGACCTTGCAAAAAAAAGCTATTTGCAAACGCAGTTTATTGTTCATGCTTACTGAAGTTGTTATACGATGATTTCACTTGCTAGTATGAAACTAATAATAAAATGTCGTAGCCAGGTACATATACCTAGAGTATACTGCCGAACAGTCGCCACAGAACACAGAGAGAAGGCAGAGCGAACGCCAATGAATGCACAAGGAAGGCACAAGGGTAGGTGAGAAGGCAGAAGCAACGCTGAACGGACGCCGTTATTTGCATATGATGGTACAGAGAAGGCAGAGGGGAGGCAGAGGGAAGGCAGAGAGGACGCCTAGGACGCTCAAAGAACGCCACTGAAAAGTAAAAAATTGGCAGCTTAGGTCGTACAAGGAAGGCACAAGGGCTGTGGCAGCAGTTACACTGTAACATAGGTTTGGCGACCCTGTCCTGGTAATTTTTAGAATGCAGAGAGAAGGCAGAGCGGTCGCGCCGCCCTGTGTAAAGAGGGCCTTACTAAAAGCAGAGTAAAACCACACTCTCACTCACTAAAGTTATGTGCCAGTATGTCATATCAAATCCCTTTATATCCATTCTCATATTTCTCTAAAACAGTATATCAATGTCTACAACACTGCACTTACCTACAAGTGGCTTAATTATCAACTCAATGTCATATTTGGTGTTTCGTTCGTCACGCCTGGTCAACACAACAGACACTTTCTTTCCAGTCGTGAACATTTCTGGGCGACCTTTACCTTTGTTGCAGTCGTAGGAATCCTGAGGATAAAAAATAACACATGTTAAAGGCAACACTGTTGTTATGTATAAACCAGTAACCATGGGTTACCATCACTCTGTGTAACAGATTCTGTGTGAAAATACAGGTCCTTGATAACTAGGGCTGGCTACAAGGTTTCATAATAGGAAATATTGTTGATGGGAAAATTATTATGATTATCAATATGAGTGAGTGAGTGAGTATGATTTTACGCCGCTTTTAGCAATATTCCAGCAATATCACTGCGGGGGACACCAGAAATGGGTTTCACACATTGTGCCCATGTGGGGATTCGAACCCGGGTCTTCGGCGTGACGGGCAAACGCTTTAACCACTAGGCTACCCCACCGCCCGATTATTAATATGAAAATTGTGTAATCGATTATACCGAATATGAAATTTTTAGAGTAAAATTAATATTTTTATACTTATCCGGACTCATGTTTATTTGCTTGTCTTCTTCTGGCGAACCTAGTGGAACACTTGTATCTCCCAATTGAAGCTCCCTTCAATAAAAAATCACTCATTAGTACTCACCCCGAGTTATCTCCCTTTCCGTAAGCGCGGGAAGGAGGGCGCCACCCAAGCCCATGTGCCTCACTCTCTCCTTTTTTGTTTTGAGCCCAACACTTTATTTTTCCCGAGAAATCCAAAGTGTTAAGTGGGGAGGACGGGAGGGCTTACCTCATGAGTCAGGATAAGTATAAAAATATTAATTTTACTCTAAAAATTTCATATTTTTTCTTATCCTGACTCATGTTTATTTGCTTGTAGAATCCTACGGAATAGGAGGTGGGATTATATATACTTTGGATTTTACTAAATAGTGATTTTAACTGAAATGATTGTAATAACCCTAAGGGAACTTCATGAAGGCACTGAACTGAATTCCTGCTGTTAAATTAACAGCTGCCTTTAAATAGGTTATTACAATTTACTGAATAAAAGTATATAGAACATTAATTAAGCTAAAGCCATTAATGTGGTAGTATAAACTGTTGATAGTTTATAGTGAATACTTTTATAAGAACCAAAGTAGTAAGCTTACAATATGCATATATATAAGCTATAACATAACTGTGCCTAAGGTATAATGATAACTTAAGCTGTATAATAGTAACCAACTACTGAGAGTTTGTTAACTAATACATGTTATGAAATGAACATATGATAGAGCTTAAAGATTAACTTAAGCTGAACATATATATAATAGTAAAACTCGTAAGAGTTGTAAGTATATATATATATTATGATAACGAATCATAGTACTGAGCTTAAGATAATATGTTAACTTAAGCAAATATATATATAGATAGCATACAGCTATGAATAGTGTTATCAGATAAGTATAGAATCAGCAAGATAGACTTATCTTCTCCGTGGAACTGTCAACTGTTGAGCGAGGACCATGGGACCGAAATGGTGGATACCTGAGACGTCCTTGGTGGTGATATCTCTCAGATAATGGTTTGCAAACACCATCTCGGACCTCCAAAAACATCCCTCCATAATGGTATTCAAGGAACAATTTCCATGTAAAGCCAAAGTTGAGGCTAGTGCTCTAATTTCGTGGGGATTAGCAGCACTTGGAGGGTTCAGTCCAGCTGCCTTGTAGGCTTTTAGTATGGCAGTTCTGATCCAAATAGAAATGGTAGCTCACGACACTTCTGTCTGTGAAGCGGTAGATATAGGGATAAACAATCTTTTGAATTTCCCTCTACTCTGCTTGGATCTTTGGAGATATATTTTCAGTGCACGATCGGGCAAAGTGATAAGTCCATCGTATCCCTGCGCCCAAGTATGGATGAGAGAGCTGGGACATGGAACAACCTGTCTGGTTGACCTGGTAGTTGATTTTTCGCTATAAAATCCCAGCGAAGTCCCAGATGAGCGATGTTGTGAATATCATCAAATCGTGTTCTCTCATAGTCCAAAGCGTGAATTTCCGACATTCTGGCATGCAGTGGCTAACGCTAGCAGGAATAAGGTTTTGTGGGTCAATGATTCATATGACGCAGATAACAATGGTTCGTAAGCCTCACTTGTGAGGTGTTGAAGTATCACATTTAGATCCCAGGCTGGGCTTGAAATTTCCGCTTCTGATCTTCCAATCGGAAGGCGCCAGAGCAAGGCGAAAGTAACTCCGGTGTTCTGGTCAGTTTGACGCCCGTTCTCATAGTAATGACTGAGCTTATGGCTGCAAGATAAGTGGACAGTGTAGATCCTTTGAGATTCTTAGTTTGACGAGGGAAACATAAGAAATCTGCCACTTGAGGATGTGTAGCAAATCTGGCTGAAAATCCTTTCTTAGCCGCGATAATTGACAAATCTGAGCCATTTATCATCGTTATAAATTACGAGTGGAGTTACGTAGTGCAAAGCGTGACCGCCTTCGCCGCTCTGTTGGAATAACCTCTCTTATTCAAACACGCCTTGATACAATCCCACACGGAAGTCGGAAAGCTTCTGGTGTTTTGTGCACTTGTTTGGTGTGTGGATGTATCAGTAGATTGGAGCGCAGTGGGAGCTGAAGTACTGGTTTTCCGATTCTTTCGTGATGAGGTCTGGAAACCACGCTCGCTGGCCAGTAAGCGAGACCAAAATCAGATTAAGGCTCTTCGCTTTGACTGATTTTTAGCAAGACTTGTGGGATCAACGCAGGAGGCGGAAAGCGTCACGGCGTTTAGTCCCTCCCACGATATGCTTAGTGCGTCCGTTGCCCATGCTAGTGGGTCTGGTACTGGCGATACTGAAGGTTGTCAGTTGATTGTTGAATCGGGTGGCAAATAGATCTATCAGAGGAGATCCTATTTCCATGATTATCTGATTGAATATTTCTGTGTGGAGCATCCATTCTGTCGGCGATGGTTGGGTGTGGTAGAGAGAGCGTCTGCTAACACATTCTTTGCTCCTGGAATGTGGCAGGCTTTGATATCGATATGTTTAGACTGTCGACTAGATCGAACAGTTTGAAACATCGAAAGTGAGTAGATTCAGTGATCTTGTTGACCCTTGTTTGTTCACATAGAACGCCACTGTGGAGTTGTCTGTATGAATCATTAACTGAGCGCTCTGTAATAGGATGCTCCAGTGATCTATGGCGTTTATGGCTGCTTGCATCTCTAGCAGATTTATGTGACATAAGCTCTCTTGAATGCTCCATAGGCCTGACGCTGTCCTGCCGGAAAGGTGGGCTCCCCAACCTTTTAGTGACGATCCACGTAAAGATGTGTTTCCGATTCCGCTCTAGTAAGGAGACGCTCGCGCAGACATTCAATCTCTTGGTCCACCAGAGTAGATGTGGTTTCATGTAATCTGGTAGACTGAACGGTAGAGAGTCCTCGAGATGGGCATTGATGAGGACTTGTAATGGACATAATTGGAGCCTGCCTCTGAGTGTCAAGTCTTGAGCCGATGTGAGTAGTCCCAGTAGACTCTGCCACTGTCGTAGTGGTAACGGAGAGAGTAGGGCTTGGGGATCAGTTGTTGTATCTTGATCCATCTGTCCTCCGGGACTATCATACGGTTCTGAGCTGTAAGGAATCGTTATACCTAGAAACTGCAGATCTTTGCGGGCTCTAGGTCCGACTTGAGTAGATTTACTAACCAGCCTAACTGCGTTAGTAGCTTGATTGTAAATTCCAGCTGTAGTCTGAGACGCTGTGGATGTGGATCCACCTGTATGCCGTCGTCTAGGTAAAATGCACTCGCAGGCCTTGGACGATGTAGATATGAGACCATAGGCTTGGTTATTCTTGTGAATATCCATGGGGTCAAGTGATTCGAAGGGAAGTACTTTCCATTGGTAGTGTATGCCGCCTAGCATGAATCTCAGATATTTCCTTGAACTGGGATGAATCGGAATGTGTAGGTATGCATCCTGCAGATCTATACTTACCATGTAATCTAGTGGGCCGAATTAGATGACGAAGTTGAGGTAAATGTATCATGCCAAACGCTGGTGGTTTGCATAGAAATTCTCTGTTGAATATGCTCATGTTGTATATTAGCGATACTTCTCTTTGGAATTCTTTTTCGGCACTAGGAAGACTGGGGAGTAGAAACCTGGTATGATGTTTTGCTGATCGAGAACTTCTAAGGCCTGTTTGTTTAGTAGAGACTGTACTGTTTCTCTTAACATGGGTAGTAATGCCAGTTGAACGTTGAACCCTGGTGGGTTGACTGTTAACGGTGGCTTGGCCTTGAGTTGTAGACGATATCCGTGATCGAAGGATGTTGGATACGTCACGGGTCTTGAAGTATCTCCCAGTTTTCCCAGTGAAGTTGTAGTCGCCCACCCACTTGAGAGACGGTTGTACTGGGACGACTGGGGGTGGAAGACTCCAGTCGTTCGAACCTGACTTTCATCGCTAAATCCATCGTCCACCTCTGGATGATCTGCCTCTAGCTGATCCTCCTCTGAACTTGTTGTAGGGGCTTAATTGAAAAGAATCCTTGGGATTATTAGCGGCCGCTAATATCTTATCCCGTGCTCTCTGTAGCCCTGAGAATTTAGCCTTACCCGAGTACCTCTGTGCTGAATGTTTGAAGCGTTGGCTAACGTATCCATAGATCTAATCATCAGTACTTCTCTAGAATCTTTAGATACTTCCTTGGAGACCTTGTTAATGTTGCCACCAAACAGTAAAGGTGAAGACCATGGAGCTGTGTACAGGGGCTCTGTGAATTGATTATTCCAAGAGCATGAGGCTAGTAATCCTTGCCGACGTGCCATGGTGGTAGTTTCAGTAAGAGCTGAAAGATGGTCTGTAAGGAATTATTGATCTTTCTTCTGCATGAGTAGAGCTGAATAGATCATCCTGTCCTCCTCATCCGTAGAGTTCTTGAACGTGGTGATGAGAGTTTCGTCAATAGTCCTAGATCTATTAAGTCCGAAGAACATTCTTCTGGCAATAGTATCTAACTGGGCCATCTTGATCGTCAATCCTATAACTTCTGGACTTGGAATCACTGATAATCTTGAAGTTTTCATCAATCT